CATGCAAATGCAAGTAGAGAAAAAGGTACCACTTTGGTGGGCAGGTAACAGCGTTCCGTGCACTTCGGTGTTTAGTCATGCTGGACACATGACTGCCTGAGGGCAAATGCTGGCTCCCTCAGCTAGGAAACAGAGATGAGTACCACCCCCAAGAGTCAAACATGACTGGACTTTAATGTCATGGGGAAACCTTTACCTTTACCAAAAGTGTTTAACTACTGACCAGGGGAGTCTTCAGAAAGTAGCCCCTAAAGCTAGAACATATAGAACAAAAACCAAACTGTCAGAAATGCTCATATTTTTCATATATTTTGGCATGCTCAAAATTAAACTGACTTGCAGCAGACTTAAATGTCTAGCAGTAAAAGATACATTAGATGAATACACAGAACAAGAAATGGAGGAAAGAACTATGCTAGGCATCTTTACAGAAAGATTAAAAATCAATTTTCTCCACATCTCTAGTCTTATATAAAAGCTATTAGAAATCATTTTGGAAGAATAAAGACCAGGTAGCAACATATGAACACACTGTCTTAAACATTTTAGTTTATAAAAAACATTTTATTATCCAAAATTGTTCAACCCTTCAGCCAACACTTACTAGACATTAGGTTCACTGAGAAACTCTGAAGCAGTGGTTTTACATTAAGTATAGGGAGGATAAAATCCCTCTGAAAGAGACTGTATTGCCATCTTACTTACTCACACAGGGCCAGTTCACACAGTCATTTAAGCCATGATGAGTTGTAGGGCGTGTTGCTAGCTATTTTGAATATCCACCCTCTGCTGGAGGGCTGCCATGGTTTGTTGTGCTATCTGAATCCAGGCAGCCACCCTTAAGTAATTTTACATAGGTTATGTTTATATGTCATGACGACAAGCCATGTCAGGGTACAGGATAGGCTCACTGTGGTTTAAAGAAGCCAATTTAACAATTTACAAATTTTAAAATTTAATGTGTCTAAAATTTACCAATTTAGTCGTTGTTGTTGTGATGATGCAAACTGGGTCATCATTACAAGCAGTGTACACACCACAGCACCTATGCTTCCTTCTGATTCTCTGCCACTCCATTTTGGCTAAGCTAATCGCACATACATGGCGGCAGTGCATATTTAGACATAGCCCAATGCCCCCATGGAGCACAGGGGCATAATAATAGATTATAGGCAAATGCAGCAGGCCGGTTTATCATTTTTCTCTATACTCTTGCATCAGATTAAGGAGACTCTAGCTCTCGAAAATTTATACCATCAGTTTTTAAACCCTACATCAGTGTTTAAAGTGTCACAAAACTTTGATTTTTTTTTTGCATTACAAAGCAATCCAAATCTGTTTTCTTCCAGTGCACTATCACTCAGTCAACATATGCAAAAACTGAAGCAGGCCACTCATCACCACCAGCATACATGTGAGTCTCCTAAAAGCCTGGCATTCTAGGAATTGGAAGGAAGCTTTGTTGAGTTCCACAAATACAAACCCCATTCCTATTCAGCTGCTGGTAGCCGTCAACAAAGAGTCAGCGAGCAGCACGGCTCATTTTTTAAAAACACTTCACAAATTAGTTCTGTACCTAAAGCATTGTACAAATGATGCAAACAAAATAATTACATATAAGTTTTTCAACTGAAAAAATAGCCAGAACTAAGTATAAGCTTTCAAAATCCAGTGTATAGCCTACCAAGAGCTAGTCAGGACAGGGCACAAATTAACTGATGGTGCTTAAAAATGATCATGCCATATATGTTTTATTGCTAATGCAGGGGCTACATTATAGGAGCTAAATGTAGGAGCTAAATTCCTAAGACTTTATAGGAATTTGGTAGCAATGCGCAAAGTCTTCCAAAGACCAGACGGATCTACAGAAAAGGAAGAAGCATACATCTGAGAGATTTCAGAGAAATAGCAGTACAACAAAAACAGTCAGAAAGAGAACAATATGGCATACTTTAATAGACTGATTACAGCATAAATGTTTGTGGAGCCGAACCCAGTTACAACTGATGAAATGAACTTTAATTAATGTAAAAGCATGCTAAAAAAAATCTGAAAATTTTTAAATGTACACAATAGTCTTTGGATGCTTCCAGACCAGGCTTTGGTTGTTCCCAAATTCTGTCTCAGTCAAAGAACTTTAGGAAATGCTGATAACATCAACTTCTATTGTAATCCTCCCATATGCCCCAGGGCCCACTTAAGTCCAGTAAGGGAAAAGAAAGCAGAATGGCTGCCCAATGCCTTTAATGGCTATCAGTAAGGTTGCTCCATCTGGAAGCACCTCCCCTTTTCTAGGTAATCCTTGAGGAAGTAAAATACACTACACCATATTGGGGGGTGGGATAGCAGTTTTCAGTGCTTTTCCTGGAATCTAGCACAGGAGAAAAAAGACTGCAGTGATAAATTTTCTATTAATTTATGGGGTGTATGAATTGCCACATTTTCCTTCCAAGTATTCAGGGACACATGCATACTTTCCCTCCCATTTTATCCACAAAACAACCTTGTGAGGTGGGCTAAGCAGCAAGATACTCAAGGTCACCTACTGAACTTAACAACCCAGATGGTTTGAACTTTGGCCTCCTAGGTCTTGGCACTCGAAGAACACAATCCTATGCAAGGACCTACAATACCCAGCATGCTCCAGCCAATATAGCTGTAGGCTTATACTATCTAAACTTCCTGAGGACTGCATCTCTGCAAGTTTAAACACATTTTCCCCTAAGAGTTGTTTTACCTATGGGGAGGGGGTGAGAAACCTTCAAAGGCTGTCGGCCAGCGCTCGCAGCCTCCGAGAGGTGCAGAACACCGTCGCCACTGCCTCGTTCTCGAGTGGCTGCGGAGACCGAAAGTTTCGAAAGAACCCCGCCCGCCCATCCCCCGGCACGGAAGATGGACGCGGACCCCAGCGAGCCTGGGTAGGCCCAGGTGCAGGAAACCACCAGAACAGCACGCTCACCTTGGCCCGTTTCCGGCGGCTGGTCCTGCGGCCTTCAGGGGTCTCCGCGATGCCCGTGGTCTCGGAGCCCACCGCGGGCCCGGGGCCAGCCGGAGGCGGCTCGGATAAGCCCCCAGGCGGCGAGGCCCGCGGCGGCTCCTTCTTGCGGGGCGTGCGCTCCGAGGCCCCGCCGCCACCCTCCGCGGAGCCCAAGGAGCCGGAGAGGGGCGGCGGGGGCGGCGGGGGCGGCGGAGCGGGCACCGAGGCTTCGGAAGCGCCATCACCCCCGGCGCCGCCGCCGGCGCCTACCGGGGCCTCCGCCGCGGCCACTTTCTTCCCCGACGACAGCATCTTCCTCGCCTCAGTCGCTCGACCGGACAAAAGGCAACCCCGCCGCGCGCCAGCGACCGAACGTGCCGCAAGCCCCGCCCCTGGCGGCGCGCTGCGTCACCGACTCAGCCCCCCGCCTCGCCCTGACCAGGCATCTTGAGAGAGCGGCTCGAGGACCGAGGCTTCTTGTCCCGGGGCGCACGCCGTAGCCTCTCCTCGGCATCGGGCACGCCCACGCCTCGCTGCGCTCCTCGAAAACGGGCGATCCCTTCTTTTCCCCACGATGGCCGGAGATCCTAAGGGCACCATCCAACTAAAATTAACATTAAGCATTTTTCCCACAGCAGGCAAGCCATAGCTTTCCACATTTTTAGGCCTACGACTCCCATCAGCCTTAGCCAGCTTGGCCAATGGAGAAGGATCATGGGAATTGCAGGTCAAGAAGTCTTGAGGGCGGCAACTTGCCCACCGGATTTAAATAAGAAAGGTGTGCTTAATTCTAACAGATTATAAACACAGCATAACAATGCAAACTGTACATGACCTCTCAGTAATAGTTCCCTTAAATTCAATGAGGTATGTGCCCGGATAAATGCAAATTGCATTGCCATCGTAACAGATGGACCAAAGGAAGCAACCTTGTACTATGTTATTTTGGCCATCTTGCCCAGTATGGTTTGACTACAAGTGGTCCTCCAAGGGAGTCTTAAAAGTGGTCTTTCCTATCACCTAATCCTTTTAAACTAGAAATAAAAGGGATTGACTTTGGGCCCTTCTACAAGCAAAGCATGTGCTCTATCTTAGTTCCTCACTATCTGGCTACAGTCCTAATAGCAAAGAGGTAGGAGAGAATCCATGCAAGACAAAGAAAACTTGACAGCTTGCTTAATATTTAATGAAATATTAAACTGTACATAAGTTATCACAGCACCATTGCTCTCAGTGGCCAAATAGTGGGATACTAGAGACTTGAGAGAAGAAAAAGAGCAAGCTGAAAAATCAAGAAAGGGGCCTGGGACAGCCCTGTGAAAAAGCAAATATCACCTGCTGCTATGCAAAGTGAGGCATACCAAATGCCTACATAACTTTGCACAGAATCCAGCAGAATAAATGAAGTTTGCTTCCTAGCACATGTGCTGAGGTGTAGGATGTTTCTAGCTGCTTAAGCTGAGAGGGAAAAGAACAAAAAGTGCTAAAAAACAAACCTTTAGGCTTAATTATGAAACGGTGCCCAACTCGCCTGCTGCATAGCACAAATATGGTAATCATGGTCTTTCTAGCAGCCATCTAATGAGCTTTTCCAAATGTCACCTCTTCCATAATGATTACAGACAGCAGAAGGGTTTCAACAATTTCTTGTAGGGCTTTTGTGCCTAGCAAGGTTTTTGTCGTCATATAGTAGGAAAAGCTGCATACTGAATCCCTGCCTTTAAGGGACATGCAAACAAGAACAGAGGTTTTAAAAAAGCTACAGTATAATCCAATAAATAGCAACTCAACATCATCTTCAGGCAGAGGATGTAGACAGCTATCCTGTTTATGGAAGTCAAATCTATTTTTGGCAAAGGTTTCTTTTTAATTAAAAGGATAGGCTTACAGGTATTACGCCATTTTAAAAATTCCATTTCTAGAAAATTGGAGGGGTTGGACATGAGGGGAATAGGTAGGAAGGCAAGAAATGGCAAGTTCCAAATCACCATTATGTACCATCATAATGTATGTAACACACATATCAAGGGTGTTTATCAGCTGTAATTTATTATCTGTCCTCATTCAGATTATCTGTATAAAAAGCCATTTTACTGGAGGGATGCTCTCAGACCTAAGGCAGAAAACCCACACTTTCAACTGAGAGAGTTTGATTTACTTCCGCCTTCTCCATCCTTGTGCCCTGCACATGTGTTGGGACTATAAATATCCTGACCCCCAGCATGACAAATGAGTGTACTGGCTGGGGATTATGGTGACTGTAATCCAATACCTGTGTACGGTTGCTGGGTAGGGGCAGCTGGTTTTGGATCCTTGCCTCCCAACTGGCAAAAATAATTTTCCAGGTCCTTATTCCCACTACCACATGAATGAGGTAGGAAAGCTAGAAGTTTACTGTATAAGAACACCCAGGCAAAGTGCTTAAAAGGTATGAAAGTCACATTCAAAGCTTTCACAATTCAAGCATGGACACTTCAAGTTGTAACAAATCACTCTCCCTCAAGAGCTGTTTTCTGGTCAAGATAAATGCTATACATTACATTCCACTCCATCTTGTTCCCCCACAAAGTTCTGTTTCAAATTACATTGGTTGGATACAGAATTTTAGGGCAGAATTTCAAATCAGATGAACAACGCATATTGCTACGCAGAATGAAATACTCAGGAATGAAATGAGTATTTTTTTTTAAAGTGGGAACTTGATTTGGGATGAAAGCTCCTTCTCTGAGCCAACAGTTACTTCATTCAGTCTTGCTTAGATTCCTTCAGTGCTTGAAGTCTTTCTAGCAGTGGAGGGTGAGAATAATGCCACATTGAAAACAACCAGTCTGAAACGGGGAATCCCAGATTATCTTTGTTCAGCTTGATCAGTGCAGAATACAAGTCTTTAGCCTTTCCAAGATCCTTGGCAAATGCATCTGCTTGGAATTCAAATCGCCTACTTAATACAGTTAAACAAAAGGAGAGAACCTGTAGAGGAAATAATATAGAGAATATTGCATGAAACCTTTAAAACCATTTCAGATTCTTTCAAGCCACTATTCCGAATCTCATCATTACAATGACACTGAACGGTTTTTGAAATATTATGGGGATGGTGAAATAGGCAAAAGCCAACTCTCCTTCCCTCCTCTCCCTGCCAGCCCAGAGTGCTTCCCTTATGTTCAGGGGCACCCTGCCTCGTAGGTTGTGCTATGGTACCAAGGGAAGGGAGAGAAGGTGAATTTGCAGAAAATCAGACAGACACCTGTCCCGCTCACGGAAGGAGACTCCACTCGATTTTCTGCAAGTGTCACATCCTGCCAACCCTCCCTAACTTAGCGCAAATCTTATCTTCAGGGAACATTTCAGAGGGGAGCTCTGAAGGCTGGCAGGGAGAGAAGGGGTATGAAAGTCAACTGTCAACTCCCTTTTTCTGCAGACAATTTTATGGATCCAAGTCCATATACAGAAATTGAAAAGTTATGAAGTAAAAACGTTACAAGTCAGAGCACCATTAGCCTTAGCACAAGATTTGTGGTCATAAGTCAGTGAAGAAACCGCTGGTGTTGAACCAAACGGTGGTTGAATTCCAAGTGATACATTACCTCATTGTAAGGTGAGAAGATGAACTGAAAGATGATCAACAGGCCTATCAGGGTTGGTTGGCTATCATAGAATCCAAAAGCTGCAAAAAGCTCCTTTCGGCCAATCAGGACCGCAAATAAGAAGAAACACAAAAAGGAATTCATCTAGAAGAAAAACAGGTTGCCTTAATTAATGGTTAGAACCTTGAATGCTAGGGTGGAAAGATGAAAATTGCTACAGCAAATAATGGCTTTCTCAGATGCAGAACATCCTCAACCTGGCAGCTCCCTGAGCACAAGGAGGACTTCATCGGGTCCCTAGAACTCCCATGTGCACAAAGACATTTGCTTTTACTTAATACTTTTGTACACATAAAAGATATAAACGTACAGAACTGTAAATGAAGACGCCCTCATTAGGGCACATGTGGAGCAAGAGACATTATTTTATGCAACATGGATACATCCCCAGGCTATTTATAGAAGTTTGGGCTCTTTTTTCCTCAGCACCATCATAAAGGACCCAGTATTATTAGGTTTTTAAAAAGAGCACACTTCTAGGCAACCTACCTTTTCTTAAGATCTAGGTCAAGTGATAGCAATCATACCTTAATACCTCCTACAGCTTCCCCACTTTTGTATGAGACAGATAAGGTTCTGCATCAAAGCACTGGAAAACATCTTACATTCTGTAAACAGTTACAAAGCACAGAAATTTCCCTCAGTATTTTCTGCTCACCTGGCTGATCACAATATTTTTAATAGTGTGGCCAAGTTTCCAGTGACCCAGTTCGTGGCCCAGCACAGCCAAGACTTCTTCATTTTTGCATCCTTGCTTCTTATTCTAGAGTTTGTGTGTGATGGGGAGAGGAGGGGAGAGGAGAGGAGAGGAGAAATATTATCATCCCTCTACAGACTTCTTCACATATGATTGCAGCAAGACAAGAAGCAGAAATAATTGTACAATAACACAAAGCATGGATTGGCTTCACAGTCTCCATAAAGAGAGTAGCTGCACAACAATACAGCTGTGCGGTGAGATGAGATCAGAGTTCTCTGCCTGATTGTTAACCCTTCCCCATTCAGCCATTCTGAAAATAACCTGGGCGTACACTTGCTAGTTACTTGTACAGCATGTGGGAAACGCAGCACAGCCAGTCCATGGCAAGTACACAGGTGAATCAAAAAAGCAGGGAAGTGCAATCTTCCATAGAAAAAGGATAGAGAACAAGACAAGTGATTGCCTTTGGTGTCATGTCAGTCTTACACAAGTGCATCTCTGAGGGCTCAGAGTTTTGCCCTAGGAAGAAAAAATGCAGAACAACTGTGGATTCCAATCCCAAACTCTAACAGATACCTGTTCCGTGGGCTGACTTTGTTAGGGGCTTGCCCTGCATTTCCTTAAAAACGGCCCACTTTCATTTTAAGCCAGTCTCCCCCAACCTGGTGCCCTCCAGATGTTTTGGACTACAATGTGCAGTATTCCTGGCTATTGGTTATGGTGGCTGGAGTTGATGGGCAGTGAAGTACAAAGCACCTGAGGGAACTAGGCTGGGGAAGCCTGGTCTAGACAAATTGCCTTCCTTATTTGAGAAGTCTGGATCAGAACTCTACATCAACGCATTGAAACAGGCAAGCAGTGGCACCGGATGCGTACCTTGGCTTTGGCCTTTGCCTCTGCATCTTCTTCATCTCCTCCCGCCATCTGCGTCTCAGACCCAGGCTCCTCAGGGCGCTCTTTGTTAAGTGCAGAATAATCCTCCAAAAGAGTGTCAAACAGCACGATACGCTTATTCTTGAAAAAGCCGTAGAAATAAGCATTGCTATGAGAAGACCTCTTGGAACCTGGAGTCAGGGGAAAAGATGAATGGAGAATTCAGTCCTATTCCAGAAGCCACCGGATGTGCCAGACTACAATACCCATTACCCTCAGCCACACTCAAGTGCATACTCAAGCGCTGAAGACCTAAGAGGCCAAGGTTGCCCCATTCAAATTTTTTAATACTCACCTTCCACCACATAAACTTTTGTCAGGGGGAAGTCAATATTCTTTGCCATCACCTCAATCTGCTGCTTGAGCTCACCCTCTGGGAGTGGGATGAATTTATCAAACAGCGGAGCAATGTAGTCTGCATAGATCGTGACAAGAACCTACAATGCAGCACAATTCATGGAAGACAGAAACACCGTCAGATGGTTTAATCCACTGGTAACATAAATTTTCTTAGAAGGTGCAACTAGTCATTTCTGTCATCTTCCTCTAGCCGGTGCCATCCAAATATTTTGGACTTCGGTTTCCATCAGCCCCAGCCAACATGCCCAATGGGTAGGAATGCTGGCAGTTGTAGTCCAAAACTTGTGGAGGGCATGAAGCTGAGGGGAATCTTGTATATCTCTCCTGTTATTAATTCTAGATTACATTGGCCTGGTTTGCAGATAACACTAACCTGTGGTTTGTTGACCTGCCCAGAGCTTGTCTGGCAATTTCCCAGTATTTGGGTTGTTTCCCTCCTCCCCTACATACCCCCTCTCTTAAATATCTCAAATACCTCTGTAGCACTGTAATACTGACATCTAGAGCAGCTGGGATTTTTTTCATCCCTTTTGACCACCACCTCTGTAGTCTAGCAAAACAACCCAAGAACAAATCAGTTCTGGGTTTGCACATAATGACAATCCAGAGTTTAAACAACCCAGAATTTACAACACAACGGAAAACATAAGTTTAGCAAAACCACCCTTGATATTTGAAAAGCCAGCCAGCTAAAAATGAAACTGAGTTTGACAAAGAACCAGTTTAAGGGACCAAAATAGTTTCCTGTTCCCTGCCCCCGCCTCATTGTAACAGAGCCCCACATTGGTTTGGGACAGAATGGACAGCCAGTCATCACATACTCACCAAAGAAACCACTAAAGTGAAAAGCCACGCATAGATAAAGAAATAGTCTCCTCCTATTTTGATTATGTAAAGCAGAAGTGAGGTCACTGGCAGAAGGATACACTGAGTCACAATGAACTTCTTGATTGCATCTTTGAAAAAGAATCCCAGAGTCTGTAAAAGACAGAGAGGTTTTATGCTTACCATTTGGATGCAAAGTCAGCATTTGGATGCAAAGTCAGGCCAGCATTCTTTCATGTTCTGGCGTCTCAAGGCAGTTCAATCCTGCCTGCTTGACTCCTCCAACTGGCTGGAACCATTATACAAAGATTCCCTAACCTGGCGCCTCCAGGACAGATTGGACTACAATTCCCATCATTCTCAGACAATATGATCGTGCTAGTTGGGAATGATGGGACTTCCAGTGCAACCCATGTGGAGGGCACCAACTTGGGAAAGGTTGGGCTGCGCAAATTAGGAAGCCTCCACCTGAGGTGTATTCTGAATCCCATTTCAGAAACGCTTTGGGGTATGCATTCCAATGACGGGGAGGGCCAAAAGCAAAGGGGGTGGGCCCTCAAACCCAGAAACTGCAGCGCATAGAAAGCTCTCAATGCCTGTAACTGAGCCTTAGGAAAGGTGTTTCAACCTTTCAGAATGGGGGAAAGCAGCAGAAGAACTAGAAATCATAAACGAAACAAGGCTGGGAGAGATGGAGTGGTGTTTGAGGAAGAGGGCATGGCCACCTGGCAAGTCCCAGACAGCCAGACGGGCACAGCCAGTGGCGTGGATGCGTCGTCTAGGCACGAGGTCCTGTACGCCTGCCCTGGCATATGATTCTGCGAGAGCAACAGCAAGCCAGGAAACCCAGTTCAGATGCCATGATAAACACGCCACAGACAGAGGCTTCCTGCTGGGAAGGAGAGTCAAGCACAAGTGAGCAAGCCATGTGCGCTACCACGCCTGCTTGGTCCTGAGAAACCAGAATTCTAAAAAGTTCAGAACTACATCTAGACCCAGGCCAGGGATTTTTCAACCTAGTGGATTTAAAGCTTGTCCATGAGACAGCTGAATAAATGCAACATTAAAAGCCGATTTAGAATGTTCCTTTCTAACTGCTGTGGAAGAGCATGTCCTACAATCCAAAAGGCAGGCAAATTTGAGATGTGGATGAAAGGGGAATCAGTTAGACATGCAACAGGGCACTACCAAAGGAAAGAGGAGATGTGCCTTCTGCAGATCTGATACAGGAACTGCAGGATGTTCTCTGGAAAGCCTGGGGCTGGAAAGCCTGGGGCAATGTGAAAGGTCCACTGGTCATTCTCTTAAGCAAGACACTTCAGTAATACAAGGGTGGCCGCATCACAAAAGAAGTGGGGCTGTGGCTATTTTTTTTTTCAAAGGCAGTGTCACAAAGGAGTAAACTCATCCTTGGGTAATAGAAGGAACAGATGGCTCAGTTCAAAGACTAATGTACAACATTTTGCAGTTCTGGCTGTCAAGGCCTGCGGTCATAATTTACACTCACTTATCGGGTTTATTAGACTCAAGGGCGCCTAGAATGGGTGGACTGAATGTTTAGAATTGCTGGCAGCAGGAGAACTTGTCACCCCAGGGCAGGCCATTCGGTCAGCTGGGGGAGGAACGGGGATGAAGAAGGTGTTGGAAGGAGGGTCGCCTTTCTTCTCCAGAACAAGTGATTGGCTGCCAGCATTGAAAACCCTGCTGCCCCTGCCCAAGACTGGACTTTAGGCATCATGGGATTCTGAGTGTATAATGTAGTGCAAGGTTAATTCTATTATTTTGGGGTGCTGTGGTACAACCGTGTTTTGGGGATCAGGAGGGAAATAGCTGGACATCTATGTAACTGATTGTAGCCGTTACCCATTTCCCTGTACCCTAACCAGTTATTTCTGTAAACCCCTTTTATTCTTTCCTTCCCCCCCATACTTCCCCTTTTCAAACAAACTTATCTGTTTAATCCCTTGAACCTGTGTCTGGGTGAGTCCTGTGCTAAGTCTGGTGCCTTGAAGAGAGCCAGCCTACAGGGCTTGATGGGAGGCAGGCCAGTCCCCTCAGTTGAACTTTTCAGGCAGATCCCTGTTTACAGTGGGGGTGCGGAACCTCTTTCAATCTGAGGGCTGAACTCCATTTTGGGGAAGCTCTCAGGGGCAGCATCCTAATGCTGAGCTGAAGGCAAAATGGGCAGATCCAAAATACAAGCGATACCCCACATTTTTGTTCAAGTGCCTAGAGTCCATAACTAACTAAGGCTCAGGTGGGCAGGTCAACTTTTCAGAACAGGGGGGAAATTGCACAAAAACCAGGAAGCACCCCAGGGATCATAGTTAGGGAGAAATGTGGGATGGGGAAGGGTGTGAGTGTGAGAAAAAGGATCATGTCCTCCTGAGGAACCCTGGAGGGTCGGAATCAGCTTCCCACCCCAATGTTCTGCACCTGAGCTACCGAAAGAGGTGCAGCAGAACATTCATTTAACAACAAACAACAGCTAAACAATACCTGCTGGTTGAAGCCATGTTTTTCCTCGATGACAAAAGTATTATACAGGCTCCAGGGTAGACCTGTGACCGCACTGAAGAGAGTAGCAAGCAGCAAGAACACCAGTGATTGAACGATCTACACATAAGTGGGAGGAGGGGAATTACAAGCATCCTAGTTTAGACACATGATTTGCTCTAGTTTGAATCATACTTAGGTTTGTCATGGCTAATTAAAATCCCCTTAAGAATATTTACTCTAAGCATAACTTAGGTCTCCATCCAAGACAGAATGGGGAGGGTTCCACCCTTAAAGGCAGCCGAGAAACAACTGCAAATACATAAACAAAAATAACCATTTATTTTAAACTTTGGGGTGAACTTTTCCTCTGAGGAGGATCCCAGGATTATGCCTAAGGTTTATGTTGATTCCCTCTCCATTCTAAACTAGATTCACAAATGAGTTTTGTTCCCCATCTGGGCATGTTTATTAAAGGCTTCCAATGAGTATAAACCCCCGATTACAACAGTGAAACTAAATGCAACTATATGCTTCTGGGTGGAGGGACCTCCAGCACTGTGCTGCAGAAGCGTTGCAGCTGCTGCAGAAACCTGCCTATACTAGCACAGCCCAAAATCTGGTGCATGCATTTGCACAAGCATTTGCAGAGCAGTGCTAATACCTGACTTCCTTTTCCTCACCATTCTTTAGATCCAATCTACTGTTTTCTTTCTTGTAGGTCCAACCTGGTAGACAACTACAGAGACAGACTTCTAGGGCACCAACTCTGACATGTTCATTAAAACTGTTTTAGATGTCCAGGCAACAAAACATGGAGGATTTTTCCAGCAATAGCCACAGTGCACAGAGGCTAATTCTATCAATAGATCCTTTTTATGATCAAACGTCTTAAGTTCGGAGGCAATATACTTTTGAATACCAACTGAGAGGGAGCATCACTGGAAGAAGGCCTACTGCCTTCCTGTTCTGCTCAAGAGCTTCCTGAAAGCCTCTGGTTGACCACTGCGGGAAACAGGGTGTTGGGCAAGAAGGACCTCCAGTATGTTCAGATGAGAATATAAAATCCCTTTAAAAGAGGCAATAGTAAGTAGGTTGCCTCAGTAAGTTAGTATCCTAAGATTCTGGCAAACAAATCACCTACCTCATATTCAGGCCCAAAACCAGCATGATTAGAAATATCTCCAGATACAGACCAGAGGAAAGGGATTCCTCCACATAGCAGAATCACCTGTAAAAGCAAAAACACAGCTTGGTAGAATAGAGTAGCAAAATAGTGCAAAACCTTAAAAACAACAGAGCCTTTTCTATCCTCCGCCTTTGCACTGCCATAAAGCATCTTTGGAATATTAAAACATAAACAATAAGCCTATTGCTAAATCATGGCTCTTATAAGAGCAAACCATGGCTTGGCATAACAGATAAACCAGCTGAGTGTCACAAGCCAGTACAGTAGAGGAAACTACTTGTTCACATCACATGAAGAACTCACAGGTTATTTATTTAAACCCATGATTCACAGGAATACACACCACCTATGAGCTCCTTCTAGCTGGCTCAACTGGAAGATATAAACCTGGACAGATAAGTTGTTTAGAGGCTAAACAGCTCAGCAGTTAACTGACAGGTTGGTGTTGGATTAGCCATTGAGATGTTTAGTCCCTAACACAAACCGTCAGTCTGAGTTGTTTTGTCATACTCACAACTTCTAAACAAGTGTATCATAGTTTGTTTATGGAAAACTAAAGCAGTTCACACACATCATGCTTCTATACAAATCATAAAAAAAGTTAGGATTATTACTGATTATTTGTTGCTGAATGCTGCTGTGCAGTGCAAAACAGCCCCAGAAGCTGTACAACACTGCAATATTGTTATATACTGCACTGTACAACACTGGAATATCTCATCAACCCCTCCTGTTTTTGCTCTCACTCCAAAGATTCCATTATGTGTGCTGTAAAACAGTAACCCTAAAAGAGACCTCTGTAGCTACTTCCACTGCAGGACAAAAGATAGCTCATGCCTTCCGGGTTTGTACAACATGACACCCCCACTGAGTAGGGTTCTATATGCAAACTGATGTACACAGAGACGGCAGCTCACTGTAGGTTAAATAATTCACCACGAAGTCATGCAGTGTTGCATGAACCAGGTCACTGAAACATAAACGAAGCACTAAAGAAGGAAAGATACTTACTGTGCCCTCTATCTCTGAGTATAACCCTGACCAAAAACTGAAAGCACTTTTATCCAGTTGATAAAGGCGCGATTTTTCAAATGTTTCTGAGTCCATAATTGGTCCTAATTCCAGTGGGACATGGGTAGTAGTCCTGTATACAGTCCTCTGAAATAGTTTAAAAACAGGAGTAAATACATCTTACTTCCTACAAGGAGAAAAATGTTCTCTCAGCTTCCACTGGAAATGAATCATCCCTCAACCTGAGGAAACTTAAATGCGAAATGGCACTCAGCAGGATCCTGAATGCAGTGCAGGTTAACAAAAACCACACAGGTGCTCTTGGGAAATATGCCCAGAGTTTGGGAGATGGCATGAAACCAACAGATCTCGCATCTACGAGCTACCACGATGGACAAAGAAGATAGTGCTCCAAAAGTGGAAAGTAGTTACTGTGCCTGGCAGCAAACAACAGCTGGGAAATGGTAGACCAAGCTACAAAGTTGAAAGGCAATTTTTCAGAGCACCCAACAGGTCTTCCAAGATCAATCTGGAGACCAAAGATGCCTCCTCAGTGTCCTCCACATCTTCCCCAATGGCAAGAACAGAAGGAATGCATCCTTTATTCCTGTTCCTTTAATATGGAAAAGGGGTTGCATGTCTGGGGAAGAGAAGGGGAGAGGGAGAAAGGGAACAGGAGGGAACAGGGCACATGGTAAGGGCAGAGGTAAAGGATTAATTTGCATTCTTCATGATTTCACCATCAAGTCATTCTCTTTTCCCCCACCCCACTTGTGCACCATCCTGCCTGAAAAAGAGTTGGATATCTCAAACGTTTTTATTGAGTTTTGCTTGCTTGTGAAAAAGGTACCACTTAATCCCTGGTTACTGGATTTTTATTATCATCATCAATTAGCACAGCTTGCTTTGTTTTAACCTAGAAAACTGTGGGTTTAGCATTCAGGAGCAAGAACCTATAACTAGAGAAAGATGAGTTTCTATTACTTGAAGATGGGATTTTCAGGGTTACCTTCCCTCCAGTCCCTATGTAGCATTGCTAAGACAAAAGCTCTGGCTCTATGCCTGCCAAGGAACACATCTGTTTCACCTATGTCTGGAAACAAATCAGAGTAACAGCTGGATCTTTCATTTGAAAAATGGGAGAATCAACCCTTAGTCTGCTTCTTCATCCCGTTGTGAAACCTGGTACAACATGAAACTTGCATAGCATCTAGCAAGCCGAATATATTTAAATTAGTGCTTCTTCCCCCACTTTTTACCTGAAAACTCTTGACCTCATGAAATGAAAGACTTCATGATTTCAACCTCTGTCTTTTTCTTCCCCTCACCACTTTTTATAATCCCTTGCCTGATGAAGAGGTGAACGCTTTGAAACATGCATTCACAGTCTCGTGCATTTTGGTTCTAATAAGTTATTGCTTGACGGTGGACCGTAGATTTTTTAATGGATCAAAATGGCTCATTGTGTTTGGTCAGCATTCATGTTTGTCATCAGAGCCAAAAAGGTGAATTCCTAATAGAACTGTAATTTAAACAGACTCCGGATAGGGCAAGTCCCATGCATGCCCAAGTTTCAGGCTGTTTCATTCTTAATGGTTGTTGCAACCCGCCCTTTCCCCCAGGCTTTGCAACACCCATCCCATCTGTGCCTTAGTTTTCTCTCTGCTAAAACAACAGCCACTATCTTAAAGCAGATTTGAAACCTCACTGTTGGAGAGAAAATCGTAAAAAAGAAATCCATGTTTGTAATGAGATTGTGGTTAAGATTCCTTAACAACTCTGATGTCATTATCAACAAATGAATGAGGTTGACATTTGTAGAAGTCGTATTTTACATACACACAGAATAATCGTCTCATGTTTGCTTCAGTGTAAATTCCACAGTATTCAGTGAGCCTAAATTTTATGTAAGCATGTTTAAGAATTCATAAACCAGAATTGATCAGGTCCAAGACTTTCGTGAATACTTAACAGCCATGTGCTATTGAAACCTTGGCTGTTACAGGACCCTAGCGATAGGTGTGAAAGGATGATCTGAAACAAGGGAGTAAAGAGATTTAAAAGGGTAACAAAGAAAATTACTTAGCCCAAAGGAGAGGAGAGGCTAAAATCAGATAGCACAAGGTATGGGGAAACAGGCACGTAGGCAGGAGGGCCAAATACTTCCTGATTGTTTCTTGACAAGCTGGGCAGAACAAAATGAGCCTATTGTAGCCCACGGGGGGCAGGGCTGGATTGGGAAGAAGGGCCAGTGCTGGGACAGCGTGGAGTTGGAGGGTGGAAAGAATGTAACTCTCAGTACCCTATTAGCCAACTGGGGGAAAGGAGGAGGGAACAAGCAGCCGGGAGCAGGGTTCAAAAGGGGTGTGTGAACATGTGCTCAGGTGAACAGACAAATGGGAAGGAAACCATTCCTTTCTGTTCCCTTCATTGCAATAAAGTTTTAAAAAGAACTCTCTGCATGCCTGGAATATTTTTCTCTTCCAACGGAAAGGAAAGAGTGATCATAAGACTAGGATCTAGTCTGGCAATGCAACTTTTCAGTAGTGCTTCACTACAGAGGGACTGGGCAAACAAGTGCCCTGTGAGTAGGGAATAACTGTCACTGTCTCTCACTCAAGGACCAGACCCGGCCCTCCCGGGCTCCAAAATGGCCATGCCTCCTTCCTCAATGCACCCACCCCTATTACCCCAGCTGCTAAGCAGTTTTCACCATTCTAAAAGGCTGAAATGCCTCTCCTAAGGCTTAGTGACAGGCAGTAAGTGCTTTAAGTTAAAACAAGTCAGAGCTTTTCCTAGAAGCAAACAATGACAAAACTGAAGCAGTCATACTTTGGGCACAGCATGAGAACATGCTAGGGAAAGTCGAAGGCAGAAGAAGAAAAGGGAGACTAAGAAATGAATTAACTTCATTTAGCAGAGCTCAGCAGGGGTGTTATGGAGAGGACATTTTGGAAGGCTTTTATTTGTGGGGCTGCCGTAAGCTGGAGATCACTTGATGGCACATAACAATCTGTTTTGGTGTCTGGGGTTCAACCCTTTGGCCTTTGACCAGGTCCAACACTGGAACACATTCCCTAGAATTTATCTTGAAACAGAATATGACTGACAGAATCAAAGAGGTTCAACAATTCTGCCTTGTATGATACCTTATATTTAGACTAAATCAGAGGGTAGGGGCCATTTTGCAACTCATGCTGCTAAATGCTGCAGATTAAATTAAATGGCTTTGCTATAATTGGTCTCATGCCATGCTATGTCATGAACTGAATTACCCCCAAACCCTATCATTAGGGACCTTTCCAAAGTTGAATGTGTTCCCGTGGAGGGCAAAGGGGTACAAGACAGGTAATAATAAAATGCATTCTTCAACTTCATCAACATCATGAGGAAAGATTAATGAATAAAAAATACTACACCAATGACAGTTAACAGCACTAGGAAATAAATATGGTCAAGCAGCCTTGCTCTTATTAAATAGTAGCACTGGCATGAGTTTAAGGACATCTTAGGGTACAAGTCAACCCAGGTGCCCATAACTCTCTGGAGAGCAGGATAACCACGGAAGCCAAGGTCATCTGCCATGCAACTTCTGTTCTGCAGATCACTTATCTGGCCCATTTTGGCTGGTAAGTGCAACACTGTGGAGCAGGAGGGAAGGAGCTTGAGGCTTCGCCAGAATTCATCATATCTTGGCAGCACCAATCTCCTCTTGGAATGCCCCCAAACACCCATCTCTGAGGTTGCACTTATCACCCTGGAGATGTAGTCAGAATGGTTCTTTCTACACCAGTTGTGAGCAAGAGAGATCAGAGCTTGGATTTCCAGTTAGAAAGTCAGAATGATTTTACAACCTTGTACTTGGAGATCGAAGCAATCCTATAGTCATGCAAACACTGTTTAGTAGACACAGAACAGCTTTGCTCATCAGCCAAATTCATATATGAAAACAGATGTGGAAGCTCAGGAACAAAGTGAGCCAAAGCATTTTGGGGCACAAAAACAAAACAAAAAAAATCCTCCCCAGTGTTTCGATTTCCCCCCCTGCCTTCACATCTCTATCAACCAATAAAACAGCTTGCGAAAAGCACACTATGTTTTTTAGATGATAGCAGGTATAATCTGAATCAGGGAACATTACCTTAGTTTAGATGCTTAGAAAATTTAGACACTAAAGTTTTAATACTAAACAACTAAGATAGGAAAAGAGGAAGACAATTCCTAGCATGTCTTAGGCAGGAGTTGTAGGACATTTTCCTGCCTACATTTGGATGGGATTGCATCCTGTTTATGTATTTATTAGATTTATATCCCACTTTCTTACAACAAACTCAAAACAGCTTACATCCTCCTCCTCCTCCTGCTCTCCTTCTTATCCCCAGAAGAACCACCCTGTGAAATAGTTTGGGCATGACTGGCCCAAAGTCACCCAGGTGGCTCCATGGCTGAGCAGGGACTAGGACCCAGTCTTGTGCTCTTAACCACTATATCACATAGGCTCTCAGATATCCTAGATAATTTAGTTTCCCAACCAAGTGCTCTCCAAATAAGTTCCACTATAACTCTCATCTTCCCCAGCCAACGTAAGTCTCCTTATGCTAAGAACATAAGACCCATGTTGATTCAAACTAGTCCAGCATTATTTTTACACAGCAGCCAATCTGGTCCCAATGGGAAAGCTAAACATAGGGCATGAGAGCAGGATACAATGGAGCATCCTCTCAGTGGTACTTCCCAGTAACTGATATACAACTGGTATGATTGTAGTTCACTCTTTAAAAACACAGCATGACCAAGAAACAGAGACTAGCATAAGGAGGTGCTGACTGCAACCTTAATGCAAATCAATATGCATATACAGCATCCAAAGGGGGTGGGGGAAGAAGAGGTTCCTTGCACTCTAATCCTATATACTTTTACCTAGATGTAAACTACAGTGTATTCAGTAGGACTGACACCAATTTACATGGACATGAAGCTGCACTCATACAGCTCAGTCACACAGATTCTTTCACATATAAATCTTGTGTGCAAGTGTGTGTCAGGGGTTAACAAGCATGGGATTACAACCATGCAGTGCAAATCATGATTCCCATGTAAGCATTCCACACAATGGGAGGGGACAGTGAACCTGAAATAATGTATACTGGACTGCAGGCTTAGATCGCAGCAACCATTGGGTACCCATAGTAACCTAGAATAGGTTCTTATACTGCTTCAGGCCATGAGTCTATCTAACGTGAATTTTCAAGAGTGACTGGCAGTTCTCCAAGGTTTCTGGAAGGATTCTTTCCCAGCATCCCGACACCTTCAAGCCCAAACATGCCAGCAATCAAATCTAGGACCTTCTCAATGCACAGTAGGTGCCTAATCCCTCCCAACCTCCAAGGCTTGAGTAGGGTTGTCAACTGAAGAGAGTCAGTTAAAAGTGTTGAGCTGGGATCCAGGCACAAGTCTCCACTCAGCCGTGAAGTTCACTGGGTGACTTTGGACTAGTCACTCACTCTCAGGCAGATCTACCTCACAGGTTTGTTGTAAGATTAAAATGACGAGAAAAATATAAATCGCCTTGGGCTCCTTGCAGAAAAAAAGGCGGGATATGAATGGAATAGACTGACCAAAAAGGAGGACCTATCACGCCCTTCCAAAATCCCGGCCTGCCCTTGTGCCTGTAAACAGCAACCTGGTACAACCGGCCCTAGCAAGCACAAAGCCTCGCCCAGCCCAGCCCGGGAGATCAACAGGACGGGCTTCCCGAGGGCGGCTGAGCAGCCAAGCGGCCAGCGAACGTGGCCTCGGGGCGGGAGGAGCCGGGTCTGACCTGCCGCCAGGCGAGCAGCGCTTCCCACAGATAGACGGCCCAGGAGAAGAGCAGCACCGCGCAGAAAATGCGGCTCTCCACGGAGGCCTCGGCCCAGAGATCGCCCAGCAACGGCACCGCCATGCTCGGCCCCAGTCCGCCGCTCTCCCGCAGCGGCCGCACGCCCGACGGCTCAGCCGGCTTCCCCCTGCGATGACACCAGCCACGCTTCCGGCGGAAGCCGCCGGCCCTCCGCGCGACCCCGACTCCGTAGTCCTCGAGGGCGGTTTCCGGTTCCGGTCGGAGGGCGGGTCCGTGTCATGTACGGGGCTGGAAAGGGAGGCGCGAGCGAGGTGGTGCGCTGGGCTGCTGGCTGGGGAAAGGGGGGCTCAGCCGCCCCGCATTTTCACGGAAAGGAGGGGGCTTCCTCGAAAACACGTGTACGCAAAGCACTCACGAAGCTCCCACCTTACGTGTTTCCAGAAGTGCCTTGCAGTTTCAAAAAATATCCCGCTCAAGTGCGTTGTACCGGTTTATTGTGTAAAACCCGCTGCTTCGAATGCGCGAAACGTTCGCTGTTTGCAGGTAGACTGGTGTGTTTGTGTACACACACTGAGGAAAGGCGTTTGATGGCCTCTCATTCACGAAAGTTTACGCCTGCCATAAAAGTACAGCTGGCTCTTGAGCAAGCTCCAGTGTCTAGAATGCTTACCCCATGTAGCTTTACACAATTTATGTCCTGAGTAGGACTGGAGACTAATAGCACAATCCTACACACTTCTACCCAGATGTCACAATGAGTTCTATGGGACTTACTCTTGGAGAAGCAGATTTCAGTTTGCAGCCTAAACGTGTTACAAGGTGCTATGCCAGTTTCCGTGTTTTAGCTGCAAAGTAGGCTAGGGGAGCAAGCCTAGCCAGGTTAGCTTGCACAGGAGGGCATGGGGAGGGGAATCTTACAACTCCCAGCATGCCCTAGCAAGCACTTTTTTCTTGCTTGGGACTACACCCCAAGACATTTTGACATAGAGAAATAATACACTCTTATCATGAACAAGGAACTGAGAGGAAGCAGCTATATCATGAAAGGAAGCATGTATCTTTGCTCTTCCATTAATTAATCTATCCATTCATGTTAAATAGGTATTTAACACACATAATTTTCAATTTACATCTGTAATAAACTAACATGCAACACAAGCCCTTGGATCCAAGCCTGGTCTTCCTTGGCAACCCACTGACATCAATAGGACTTAAGTTCAATTCATTTCAACAGGCCTAGGCTAAGCATGACTAAATGTGGATCCAAACCAATCCATACAGAGTTACAGCAAATTTTAAACCAATTCTTAAGAGGTTGCATAATCACAGGAAGACAAAATTGGCATCCACCACCACCTTTCCCCAGTAGAGGATTTGAGTAGAGACAGGCATGGAGTTCTTCCATTTCATCCTCCTATGCAAGTTAGGCTTCTGAAGGTATTTCCTTTCCCCCTCCTATGCTTCATTAACAAGTGAAAGATTAAGCTCACTTTGTTGTCACACACTGTCATCTCCAACTTACGCTAATCCTATGAATCAATGCCCTCCAAAATATCTTGAGGTTGATAACCCACCTCAGCTCTTGCAAACTGCATGTGGCTTACTTAATAGAATCAATCCATCTTATAGTTGGTTTCCCTCTCCCTCTCCTTCTCCTTCTGCCTACTTGGGATGCTTCCTAGCATTATTGCATTCTCCAGTCACTTTTCCATTCTCACAATGTGCCCAAAGTATGACAACTTCAGTTTCATCATTTTGGTTTCCAGGAAAGCATACAGTTTGATTTGATCTAGGACCCACTTGTTTGTCAGTCTGGGGGATTTGCAAAGCTCTCCTCCAGCACCAAGTTTCAAATACATAAATTTCTCACTTCAGCTTTCTTCACTGTCCAGTTTTCACACCCATACAAGGTGAAAGCCATACAAATACAACACTGGATGATCTTGGCCTTGATCTCCAATGAAACATCCTTACACCTGATTTCCTTTTATAGTTCTTTCGTTGCTGCCTTTCCAAGTCTCAGTCTTCTAATTTCTTAACTGAAGTCTCCCTTTGAATTGAACAAAGGTGCGTAAAATCTTTACAATTTCAATGTCTTCATTGTGGACCTTAATGTTGTGTAAACAGTTTATTTTTGTTCTCTTCATGTCCACCTGCAGTCTGGCTTTTGCACTTCCTTCTTTCATCAGTTGTTTAATCCATTACTGTTTTCTGCCAGTAACACGGTATCATTTGCTTATCTTGACTTATCTTCCCCCATTCTTTCCCTCCTCTTTCCTCTGATCCTAATCCATTTCTCCTTATGTATACAGACTGAAGAGATAGGGAAATAAAATACACCCTTGCATGATGCCTTTGCCTAAAGTGTTTGATCATCTGTGTTTCATAACCTGTCCTCAGAGTCCTAACATTGGCTCCAGTGGCCAACCTGTATTTGCAACATGATCTTGAGTGACTCTTCTTTTTTGCAATCCTGCTTGAACAACATACATTTCCTGCTCCATATAGGGTCAAATTCTTTGTAGCATAATTTGCTTATATGGAAATTATTGTAATAACCAGTGTGGTGTAGTGGTTAAGAGCATGGGACTGAAACTCAGACGATCTGGGTTCTAGTCCCCACTCGACCATGGAGCCAACTGGGTGACTTTGGGCTAGTCACAGACTCTCAGCCCAACCTACCTCACAGGGTTGTTGTGGGATAAGATGGAGGAGGAGAATGATGTAAGCTGCCTTGAGTCCTTTGAGGAAAAAGGCAGGATATAAATCGAAAAATAAATAAATAAATAAAGTTTCTGCACTCCACAGCATCTCCTTTCTTGAGAATTTGAAAGCATATTGAATATTTCCAGTCTGTGAGCTATTGTTTTGTTTTCCATATTTGTTGGCATATTTTTCTTAGGTTTTGGACTGAATCGGTCTGAGGCACTCAGAATAAGTTCTCCTGATACTGTATCTACTTGGAGTGCTGTATTTCTTCCAAGTGCTTTCAGAGCAGTTTTCACCTCACTTTCTAATATTGCAGGTTCTTCCTCACAGGAGTCCTCTTGGAAGGCATCTTTCTATCACTTTTGTATAGTTCTTCTGTATTGTTTCCACCTTCTCTTTATTTTATCCTGGTCAGACAGTATGTTTTCAAACTCACTAGGACAAATTTATTTCCATACTTTTGCAGAGGGGTGGTGGAGGAAATGAAACTCATTGTGAGGTTTTTAAATAAGGAAAACTACCATAGCAATGGTTAATGAGACCATTGAGTTAACCCCCTCCTTAATGAAGGAATTCTAGTGCTAACAGCTGGCTGTCCAGCTTTGGAAGATCTCACTGAGAGGACCCTACCAGCCATCTAAGAAAAAGCTCCATGTCAAACAACTTTTATCATTAAGTCCTTTTTAATTTGCACTAAAGCACTATTTTCCTGTAACTTACGCCCATTAAATCAAATCCTGTCTCCTTGGACAGTTCATAACAATTATTTGTCCTCTTCTAGGTAACAACCCTTCCAGTAAAGTACTAACATCCGTTCAGATGTTACACTGTTTATGCTGGGGTGGGCAACACATGGCCCTCCTGAAGTGGGAGTTGCTGTTTAAAGCTAGGAATGAACTGAGGCTAAAAGTAACCAAAAAAGCCTTCTTCAGATATGTCCAAAGTAAAGGACAGAGGAAAGAAATGGGGGTTCATTACTTAATATGGATGGCAAAACGAGAACAGATGACAAAGAAAAGGCAGAAGTGCTCAATTCCTCCTTTGGCTCAGTCTTCCTCCAAAAGATCTATTACCTTCCTGAAGAAAGGGAAGTACAAGTTTAAGGAGCAGGCTGGCAGCTCAGGATTGATAGGCAAATGATCAAGGATCATCTAATCATTGGGCTGAGCGAGCCAAAATCTCCAGGGCCAGATTTTGGCTACATAGTAGGAAAAAATTCCTGTCAGAGCAGTATGGCAATGGAACTGATTACCTAGGGAGGTTGTGGGCTCTCCCACACTGAAGACAATAAAGAAGCAACTGGAAAGCCATTTAAGAGGGACAGAGCCCTGTACTCAGCAGAGGGATGGACCCAATAGCCCTGTGGCCCCTTCCAGCTCTACTATTCTGTGTTTCTATATAAATACCTTAAATAGGTAGAGGCCTAGTTGCCAGATTGTCAAAGGAGGGGGATCTATATGGCAGAAAATACATTTTACAGCAACCTTTTTCAGTTCTTTTAAACCTAGGACCTACCCCTTCATATTCCTTCTCTCTTGTGCTTCTTGCCTCCCCTTCCTATTTCTTCTGTTGGCTGATATTTTTTTTAAACAAGCCTTTTCTATTTTAAAGTTAATTTACTCAACAGCAATGCTTTTGTTTTTCCTTTTGGGTGCTCTTTGTTTTGCCTTTCTTACAATGCAAAGCTACTTTCTGGCTGTCCTATGGGCACAGCAGGCTCCAAATCACTTATCTCCTTCAATATATCTTGCAGCAGTTCCACTAGTGCAACTATTCCTTCCCTGGAGGGTATTGGGGGGGGGGCAATCTAGAGAGTCCCACCTTCACCCTTTATCAGCATTTTAAAAGGTGGCAGATTCCATTCCAACTGTGCTGCTTGAAGAGCTCTGCTCCACCAGTTTGGCTCCCTCCCTGCCTTAAATCCTCTAATGTGGATGCTTTGTTATTGCAGCCCAGGGCTGCAGAACCTTGGGCCAAATCCTGATAGCCACACCCTTTCCATTTGACCACCAAGGGTATGGTGGTTTCTCAGTTTTTATGCAGTCCCCACCCTGCTTCTACAATGCTTCTCAGACCTAATTACTGGCAGTTAAGAGCATAGTATTTTGGTTCCATCCCTTTGGCCTCCAGCTCCACTGGCTGATGGAATGTGCCCCCCTCCCCATACAGCAAGAATCTGACCATCAAGCTGAAAGATGCTCAAAACCCATATTCTAGGATCTTGAATAATGAAGCATCCACATCAGAGAATGCAGAAATCACCTTTACAAGAACATTGATGCAAGCCCATTTTCTCATGTTTGGTATAGACTCGAAACTTGTTATGTGCCGTCTCCGACTTACGGTGACCCTGTGAATGAAGGCCCCCCAAAACATCCTGCCCATGACAGCTCCGTTCAGCAATGCCAAGTTCAAGGCTGTGGCCTCCTTGATGAATTCAGTCCATCTCATATTCGGTCTTCCCTTTCATCCTCTGCCTTCAACGGTCCCAGCGAGTCTTGCCTTTTCATGATGGCACCATGAAAGTGTAACAGCGTCCATTTGTTTTTGCTTCTAGGGAAAGCTCTGGTTTGACTTGATCTAGGACCCCTTTGTTTGCCTTTCTGCTGGTCCGGGGTATTCACAAAGCTCTCCTCCAGCTAATGGTTAGGCTTAGCTAACAAAAAGCACAGCAAAGACACAGTAACTACCATAGTGCAGACAGCACCTCACTAGAATCTGTTTTAAACACAGTATCATCGCTTTGCCTACTATTTAGACCCCTAGAATTTCTTTTAACATAAACAAGAGAAAATACACCCAACTGTCTATACAGATTGAACAGTTTTTCAGTCGCACGTGCCAACGTTAAGCAGCCATTTCTACAAATCACCAAAGGAAAGGTGTAAGTTTTTTTACAGCATCCAAATGCAGACGTTACTTCTGCATGCTTCCAAGGGAGGAGCTCCCTACTGATTAAAAAAAAGGAAGAAAAAAGTCTATCTGCAAAAAAAATTTTTTTTTCTGCGAAAGGTAGAGTATAAAATCACCAGTTTACATCATAAGCTTGTATGGCTTAAACAGATGGCTTTCTGGAAGCGATCCTTTGCACTTAACCTAGGAGTCAAATTCAAGAACACTGAACTGACATCTAAATTTACATGCGATTGTTCTAGTGGGCTGGTAGTGTGAAGGTTTTCAATACTCCTGTTTCATATTAATGTTTTTTTCCTCTTAAAGAACTATGAAAAACTTCTACCTGGAGAAAAATATTTGGGTATGTGAATTCCAGAACCTATTTTAGAAGAATCCAATTTGAGTAAGGGCTACGTTATTCAGCAAGTCAGATAACATTCCCAAACAAAATGGCACATTTTTCAGTAAGATATTTTACGAAGTAGGCAAATAATATTTTATGGAAAAGGGATTTAACTGAAGCAGCACACTTCTATGGTAGATCCAGAGTTGGAATTGAGTATGTGTTAGTACATATTACTACACAAGTCAGTATTGGTAATAAGCCATATAGTTTTATCACAAATAGGAAGTATGTGCATTAAAGGTGGGGGGAGAGACTCTGAGGTCATGTGAATATCTTGGCTTACATTGAGATGCGCAAAAAACAATGCTAGTTGTATTGGACATGAGGAAAAAACCCATAGTCCATTTTTAGGGTTGGTCTTTATTAGACCAACTAAAAAAGGTGCACATCTACAACTCTTTCCAACAGGCAAGATGTGAAAAATAGCTAATGATGGGGAGCAGGGTTCTATCAGCTGATGTGACTTTCAGGTTGCTCAGAGACCCATCCCTAACGAACATCGCTGGGCCAAAAACCAGAAATGCTTTAACCCATGTTTTGCTTTAAACGAAATGGCTCTTCAGAGCACATTTCCATAAAAAGCACCACAGGCTTCACTAGTGCACATTATGGTATCTATCAAAGGCTTGGATGTTCTGCAGCCTGAATACCCTTACCTTATTTTAACATACACATATGTGGAAGCATTTCTGCTTTAATTACTGAAATTTGAATGTTTGAATGAAACAAGAGCAAAACATTCTGAAATACTGGTAAGCCTCGTGGTATGAGAGTTTTGTTCGGGATATGGTAGTTCCTGTAGGAAAAGTGAATCTTCTGCATTTCTACCGTCTGTTTCATCATCTTAAAAGAAACTTCCTGTTAAACACAGCCTCCGAAGCACCCGTGCACATGCTGTAACTTGGTGTCCTGCAACAGCAGTGGGTTGGAACCAAGGGCCTCCATGGCCCCTTCCAATTCTACTACTTTCTTGCACTATGTTTTGTACTCTTAACCAAGAGACACAAAACATATACAAACTGCATCTGCTACAGAGACCCTATTAGCACACACCCTTTAAGTCAGAGGGCACATACTTCCCTGTTTATTTTAAAAGGTAAGCATTGTTTTTAAGACCAGCTCTGTACAGGTGCCATGTATTGCAGCTACTGGGGAGATGCCCCAAAAGCTGGATTTTGGAGAGGAGGAGCATGGCTTCAGGGCAAAGCCCTGGCATCTCCACTTAAAAGTGCCAGGAGACAGATGGAGTAACAGCTCCGACCAGTCTGGAACAGACAGGGCTCGGTAAATGGGTAGTCTTAAGTACTATGACAGCTTCCTGTGTGTCCAGGAAGTCAACAAATAACTGGACTGCTGAGGTTTGTATTTGATAGTCCTGCTGTGCTGCTTTTCGATTAGACTGTTGGCCTACTCCAATTTAGAAATAATTTGAGCCTTAAATTTCTTTGATGCCCAACTTTGTTCCAAACCTCAGCTCAAGCATCAATTCTTAAGGTCTAGGTTCAGTCCACTAACCTATGAAGAGCAGAAGTGAGCAGAAACAGGTATGGAGTATATTTAGCATCTGCATGCCTCATACAGAGTCCCCACCCTCACAGATTAGGGAAACAACTATGAATACAGAGAGTGGATGTCACCTGATAGACTTGAAGCCTGGCATCTGTTTTTCTTTTTAAAAGGTAAGTGTAGGTAAGAAGCCATCTTCATAAAAGCATAAGGAAAGTCTTGCGAATGTTCTAACATAACCCATACTCGTTATAGACATCTCAGCATCCGTGATAAAAGGCAGGATCCAGATGGCACCTGGCAGCAATCCATCTTGCACTGCATATGCATTTTTACACCATCATAGCTCACATTATTCTCTTTTTGGAACAGCAGGTAAACTAATGTTGTCAGTCATTCAACTCAAACTAGCCTCTGTGCTCTAAAGCATCACATGGTGCAGGAAACCCTTTAGTGCCATTTCCTAAGTGCAATATTTCTAAAGCAGGTGCACAACATAAAAAGAACCAAAAGAATGCCAACATGCCTAAACAGTAGTATAAAAATTTATTACAATTAAATGGGTATAATTTTAGGAAGTAAAAATTAACCTACGTGAAAACTGAAGACAGTGCATGGATTTTATCAAGATACGACAGACAGAAATATAAGATAAGGCAAGAAGGATTTTTTTAAAGGCAACTAAAGACAAACCCTTAACAATTTCTTAAGCGTCTCAGAAGTTGGACACACCAAAGAATCTTTTCAACATTTAAGATGATTGCTCTGGATAGAAGAGCTTGGAAAACAAAATTTAGCTAATCTAAACTCTATGGAAGACAATTTCCCTTTAAATAGATGTCTAATCACATATTTAATTTTTTCTGAACATGTGTTCGTCAAGCAGTAGAATATTGTTAAGTCAGAAAGATGGATGACACATTTAGATGGTTTTCAAGGAATAAGAGCAGTATTGATCGATTACAGCATTTGATAGTTTCTATTAGCCACCACTGTAATCAAAACCTCTGGAATCTAACATTGCTGTTTCCTGATACCCTCTCTCCAAGTCCCTGAGATCTTTAGGTCTACTTTATTTCATTTGTGGTATACTTTCCAGCATTAAATGCTAGCCATTTTAAGACTTGCTCTGGAGTGGAAATAATTTTCTCTCAGTTGAGTTGCTGGAGCTTTACAAGAAGAGTTTTCCTGTCAGAGTAGTCTTACTTAAGTCCCTGAATTATTCTCTCTCAATCACATACTTTATTTGTTCTTGGTGGAATTCAGATGTTTTATGGATCGATACTTTAGGATTTCTTCTAGCATTATAAAATAATGCATTAAAGAAGATACAGCTACATTTAATACTGTATGTCTTGTTTTCTGCTGTATAAGTTTTAAGGGTTTTAAGAGATTTTCAGAAAACAGAAAGGCCATATACTGCCAACGCTGAGCAACACAATATTTGATTTAAAACATAAAATGGCCCAAAGGTACATAATGCTGTTACTCTGATAAAGCTAGCAAGACCCAATAACTTGATGGGGAAATTCCTTGAAGCTCTTTGTAAGCTACTCTGAACATGTAAACTTAACATAAAGACAGAATGAGTCAACAGACAGATGTAGAACTGGTGAAACTTCAAAGGAATCTAGAAAATTGCAGGAGGTTAGTGTGCTCCTTCTAAATCTCTAGAAAGATCTCTGTTGGTTCTTTACAACAAAGAGAAAACATGGTCTGTAAAACCAACATGGCTTCACAATTAGTACTGCCAAGACAGAGCCTGGACCTTCAGAAAGAAGCCTCCTTTCTTCCCATTCATTATACCAAAGTCATCATGAAAGAACTAGAAGAATCCCTTCCTTAATGAGCATCTGGTATTGAAGACAAAACCTGTGAAAAAGTACGACTGGCCAATTTTAACACCACACACCAACAGGTGCCTGTGCTCATGAAACTCGTTTACGCTCAGGTATATGACTGAGATAGAGACAAGTGGGATGTGCCAACTCCATGATGCCCCAATGGTGAATTTGCCGTGCCATGTGGCATGACGCTATATGAGACAGTCAACTGCTTACATGAATCTTTGGTCTGATCTTAAAAAGCAATTCTTATGTTCTTGCTAATTAGCATGAAGAATGTATTGTACAGCAGCCAATTCTTATCAGTGACAAATTATTGCAACTAGCTGTTCTCTCCACTGTTCGACACAGCCATTAGCGCACAAGCCAGAAGGCTGGCATGCTGAAAAGTAATTCAGTTATAATCTCAGCAAATTAAGACCACAAAAAGTTTGAGATAATTGGGAAAGGGATAATACAGGGTGTTATAATCAAATGTGCTATTGCCACATTGCAAAGGAGGAAAAAGTAGCACCCTTAGAAAATGGAGTGTAAGAGCAGTGGATGCTTCAGTTCTTCTAGGAAGAATTTATTATTAAACAACTAAACAAGGTTTTTAAAAACAAAGATCATTTTATCATTTCAACCAATAGCACTAGTTAAAGGTAGATAGCACAGAGTTTTTGCATAGAATGCGCCTGCTCTTTGAAAACTTTGCTACCCAATGGTGGGCAGCAATACTGAATAATAATGGAGAAAAAATTACAATATGTTATGAATATAACTTAAATTTCTCAGTCACATGAATTCAGTGCAAATTATTTCTTTAAGCCACTCTACTGCTTTTGTGGACTGCACTGCTTTAACTTTTTTTTTTTTTTTGGAAAAAAACAGGATCTAAGATCAAGCAAAAGGAATACTGCCAAACAATGGAAATTACAAAAAAACAAATGTGTTTCATATTCCTCTGTTTCTTTTAAAATCCAAAACTCCCAACTCACAAAACCAGGAAAATAGCTGAATAGTAATACTGGTCTATATGTGAGTTGTAAAAATCTAAATATTTATACAAAGTTATTTCTGTATATATTTGATCTCTTTTCCCATTTGGATAGTTTAAGGACCATACAAGAGACAGGTTTCTTCTATTTTCAGGAAGCACCACAATAAAGAATTTTCACATCTATACCTTGCTGCTTGTTTCCTTCTTGACATACCTTATAAAAATGCTAAATTTAATCTTACTAGTGCCCCCCCCCCCGCATTTTCTCTTCCACAGGACTATGCTATCCAGACTTTCACAGGTAGGTAACATGCCAGAATTCAAAACTATTACACACAACCCTCAATTCCAATTTATCTTAAGCTATCAACATCTGGCTGTACAGTCAACCAAAATGGGTGAAAAAATTCATTTTATTGAAACTCATAACTCAAAAAATATAAGATGCTGTAGTGTACAATATGTTACACGAAGCACCCTGGAGGTGCACATTCAAGTCAAGTAAGATCTTTATCCTTCCCCCCTCCCCCTCCCCCACCTTGGTACCCTAAGTACTTGTTCCATATACAATCATGCACATTTACTTTGCCAGAGGAAGCCCCCTACTCAATATTCTGTTAATTAGCACCAAAATATCAGTTCTCTCTCTCTCTCTCTCTCTCTCTCTCTCTCTCTCTCTTAATTTAACCAGGGAGCTGTATTAGCCAATACTGTGGACAGATGTCATACATTCATGGAACTCAACAGTCTAATCTAACCTCAACAACAGGTGCACTGAACCAAATTAGCAAATTTTCCCCATGTAGCAGTAGTGGAGGCAGTCTTCTTTTTCTCTCTCTCTCTCTCTCTCTCTCGCTCTCTCTCGCTCTCTTTCACTTAAATAAACACAAAATTTTATGAACTTCCCACACAAAGGTGATCTGATTTTTTTGTTGGAAAAAAGTCTATGAGGGATGTGGAAAATTTAGATCTTTCAAGAACAACAACTGGTCGTAAATAATGAAGTTGTTTTAAGGCATTGTCCCCACAGTTTGTTAATGCCTTGTCCAATATGACCCTCAGATTTTCAAGAGAAGGGATAGGAGAGTCCGTTGATAAGAGCGGCTGTATACCCCTCAGCTGCCCATGAGCTTTGGAGCCACTGTTCTTCTTGGGCATGGCTGTCACTGGGACATTTCCGTATGTAACCCTGCTCTGTGATATATCCCTTTTAAAGTCTTTATCTTTTTTCACCCCACCAGCAGTTCCGTACTGTTCATTTGGCTCCCAATCATCCACAAAATCATCGTCGTCATCCTCCTCCTCCTCTCGTTCCACACTTTCTTGAAGGAACTTTAGAAATGAAGACTCAAACCCCATTGGCTTGAAGGACTTTATATCAAAGGGCTTGGGCATGGATTGCTTCTGCATCTTGTCTTTTGTAGCAGAAAGGGGTTTTTTAATGCTCGGCTGGGATGTGTGTTGCCAGTCTCTAGCTTCTTTCTCTCTCGGTAACTGCACATCTGACCTCATGCAGTAAGAGGTATTTTCTTTCCCATCGCTGCTGGGCAAGTCATCCACTTGTGTTTTACGCTGCTCAGCAGATTCCACTAGACTACGCTCTTCAAGATATCTGGTTTTTGGATTGTGGATATGTTTTAAAGTGCCTGTATACAAGAAGACACTGGCTTCCTGAACCTTGTCACCCTCCGAACACCTGCCATTTTTACTTGCTTTATCATCACGATCTGAGTTCAAAACAAGACGCTCTCCCCTGTCTTGATATGCAGGATGTGCAGCTACCTCCTGTTTAAAGTCACCATTTGCCTCTTTATTTGAATCCTGACTTGCCTCTAAACAGGAGTCATTTATCACAGTACCACATTCAACGCAAAGGACAAGCTCCTCATACTGCTGTTCGATATAAGCACCGGCCATCTGATGGGTGCGCTTATAATGCCGCACAATACTGCTTTCCAGTTTTACTACGGAGGGACATCCCTGAATCATGCAAGGATACTGGGTCTGATTGCAGTTGTCTCTGCACATCTGGAGAGCTTCCTCCCTTGTTCTGAAGTTATACAATTGCTTTCCTTTATGTTTATTATTATTCTTTTCAACTTTTTCATTGATCTGTTTCTTTTTATCATTCTCTTCATGCCGGAGACACCGATCTTTTAAGCAGCTTTGCTCTTGTTCATCTTTAAGGTGGTTCCCTTTCTCTTTGGCACCTTCCAAGATGCCATCGTAATCACTGTGTCGAAAATATACATGTTGAGAATAGCGACTATAGGTTGTGAAAACTCTGTTACATCCATTAAGGTCGCAGTGGATTTCAATCTCTTTGTTTATTTCTTCCTCCTTGGCATGTTCTTCTGAAAGGTGATGCTTTAATTTGTGGAAGGAATAAAATGCCGCGGGGCAGTGAGGATAATGACAAGGAAATCTCATGGACTCCGTTTCAGAGAGCCCTTTTGAATCCTCTACATGGTCAAGGGCATGAAAGTCACTGCAGTGCTTAGCCAGAGATTTAGAGCATAAGAAGCGCTTGCTGCATGCCTTATGTTTACAGACAAATATTTTTTTACATTTGGCAAGTTCCCTCTTTGTTCTTGCTTTGTCTTTTTCTAGGCAGAGCTGCTCTTTGTTATACTGATGTACAGTTCTGTAGTGACGAATCAGACCTTTCTGATTAGTAAATGCCGAGTTGCAGTTTTTATGAATACAATGGAACGGTTTGTGGTATTTGTGTAAAATGTAACATAAATTTCCTTTGGCAACAGTTCTTTTACTTCCCCTCCCCTCTCTCGCTTCCAGTCCTTTCCGGTGGCTTTCCAAAGCAGAAAGTTTAGTTTGTTTCCCTGTTACACAGCTTTCTGCTTCTTCACTAGATTCCAGATCTGTTTCAGAACTAAGCTCTTCCTTCTTAGTATGACACTGAGATTCACCTGAAAGCTTAGCTTGGGCATTAAATTCTTCTTCTGTGTTGGCATAGAAAGAAGACATTGAAGCCACACTGCTGTTCAGCATATCCTCCGCAGGCTCCCCCATATCCTCGAAACTGTCATTCGTAAACAGTTTCTGGGTTGCTGTCACATTGCCAAGCTTATGCTTGTTTCTATAATGGACTCTAAGATGTGTTTTTCTGGTAAAGGATCTTTGGCAAATATGACATTTAAAAGGTGAATACCGATGTTGAAACATATTCAACTGAAGCACCATCTCCTTTGAATAATTGTGTTTTCTAACATAATGCGTCAACAGTGCTTCCCTGGTCACAAATTCACATGTACAACCTTGACGCTCACAGAAAAATGGCTTGGCTGCCAACTGGGTAAGGTATTGGGTTGGTAGTTTGCCCCGTTGCTCTTCAAGAAAATGGTCTGAGGTAGATTCATCTTCAGAATTGGAGTACTTTGATGAATATGACTGCAACAGCCTAGAATTTCCAATATGGCTGCTCGAATTGTTTAAACTTAAATGCTTCAAGCCCAACAAGAGCTCCAGCATCAAATCTTCCATATTTGACACTTTAGAATGCCCAAAGAAAGAAGTTTCCGGGGAAGAGGGGCAGGGTTCTTCCTTTAAATAGCTTTGACTCTTGCAGCTTGTATTACAATCTATAATGCCCGGAGAGTCTGCATTTATATCTGAACCGTGTTGGAGCTCTGAATCAATCTCTTCAGCAGTGCTGTTATGCACACCATCACTGAACTGACTGGTATCTTTCACTTTCAGGCCCAGCTTCCTTCTAGGTTTGAAATGATAAGGATGAGCCCTTCGCAAATGTTTCTGCATGCCCTTTGAATTTTTGTATGTTGATCCACAGCCTTCAAAGCCACAGGTAAACCTTTTCCCGTCAAAGTAGACGGCCACATTTGAATATCGTTCTTTTAAACTGGATGGAAGGAAGACTTTTTCATTCGGTAACAAAACACTAGAAATTGCCTGGCCACAGTCTACGGTTTCAGTCAATGCAGGCATCTGCTTCTCATTGGCTAGGGATGCAATATTGCTCCCAAAACTGCCATTGCTTTTTCCATCTACCTCTCCATCAGACAGAGGCTCTTGTTTAACTTCCGGAATTCCCTCTGAATTTGTTGATCCAGAGGGCAAACTGAGACTCTCATGCAGATGGGAAGGATCTTTTTGCTCAAACACCTCAGAGTCAGAAACACAAGCAGGACTATTGCCAGAAACATTCTCCTCATGCTTAACTGGCATCTCCTTCATTTCACCATTTGAAATATGCATTGAAAGATGATCCGTAAACTCAGTTTTTGAATAGTAGAACTTTTTACAGCCATGGAAATTACATGTGTAGGATGCGTCCCTAAAATGCTGGGCTTCGTGGTGGTAGAGCTGTGCCAAGTCACTGAAGACAATGTTACAGCCGCTAAGCTCGCATTTGTAACGCAGATCATCATGCTGCTGCTTGTGGTGCAGCAGCTCATTCACTGAGCCAAACCGAGCATAGCAACCGACAGACACACACATGTAAGGCTGAGGGCCGTTGTGCACTTGCTCGTGCTCCTGCAGATGGACCGCCGACATGAAATGCCGCCTGCAGTATGAACATTTCTCTCGCTTGTTTTTCATGTCCAAGTAATGCATGGCATTTTCATCATTGTTTTGGTGCTCAGCTTTCAAATGGACACTTAAGTATTTGAATTGCTTAAACACTCTGGAACATCCTGTACCTGGGCATGGGTACAGGTCTCTGTCTTGCAGGTGACAGTTTTCTAGTTTGCTAAATGTGACATAGTCCTGCGTATCGATCCTGGGTTTTTCACATGGCATTATTTTCAGTGGCTGATTCTCTTCAAGCGCTGCAGAAGCAATCCTGGCTAGATTACTCTTTGCCCGTTTCTCTTTCTTCATCAGCATCTTGGTCTTAGCGCGGTACTTTCTACTAGGCGGCATTTTCACATGCTCCATGACATGAGTCACAAAGACATCCTTCCTCTTGAACTTTTTTGTACACACTGGACATGTGAAAATGCCATCTTCCATGTGCATCTTAGAATGGTGAAGTATTCTGGCCTCTATACACTCCCTTTTGCAAATGACACAGAAGAATTTGTACTGAAGCCACCTCTGGTACCTTTCAGAGGAGCCAATTGGCTTTTTGACTCTCACTCTTTCTTTGGGCTGATTTACTATATCATGACCTTCAAAATTATTATCTTCCCTGCTTTCTTCACAGTCACTTAGGAGACTATCTAATAATTCAGTTTCATTGAATGGCATTTCATTGCAACTCAGGTCTTCCTCTGACTCAGAAACTTCCTTCCCTAATAATTTGAGACAATGCCGCTTCAAAGTTTTCCAGTCCCAAAATTCTGGATCAAACGGCCAATATGCCTTCAATGCCAACAGAAGTTCACAACGAAGGGAGTTGGGAACTGGTGCATTTTCTTCATCAAATTTCTGATCTGGTTGCAGGTAAAGCTCTTCTAGTAGATTGTATCCTTCCTCACTTGGCTCAAGTAAGTATTCAGTGAGCTGGCATGCTCTTCTGACTTCAAGGTCTTCTGGAAGAAGGCATGCAATTGTTTTGCATACTGAAGACTTCATGCCGTCATTTTCATTTGATCTGAGCTGTAGGGCTCGCACACATAACAAAATGGACACCGCAAGGCCTGCTTCTTCTGCCTAATATAAACGGGGTGGGGGTAGGGGAGAGGGGCGAGAGAGAGAGCATCAGTTGTTTCTCCCTGAAACATTTCGTAAAGGTTAATAGGAAAAACAAACGAGGAAGTTTATTTAGACAATTTATCCAAGCATGTTTATAAGGCAGCCTTCACCAACCTAATACTTCCACATGTTTTGGGCTATAATTCCTGTGCACCACACCAATAGCTATGCTGGCTGGATCCGGTTGGGAATTGGAAGGCCAAAACATTCGGAGAACACAGGGTTGAGGAAGGATATTATAAGATTATATATACATACCCTTAATTATCCACTGTTCTTTCAAGCTAATACTTTTTCTTAAACACACAGCCTGATTATTGATACTTGCACTTAATTTTTAAATAAGGCACCCAAATCGTTTATTTATTTAAAACTTTTATATGCCGTCATCACATGCCTCGGCATCTTGGGACGGTTCACAAATGTACAATTAAAAACAATAAAATGATACAAATTCCATAAAATTATATAAAAACAAAAACAAAAAACCCCCCAAAAAGTGACTGTTAACAATAAAAATATTAATTTTTAAAATAACAATTAAATAAAAAGGTTTTAACCTGGTGCCGAAAAGAATATAAACTCGGTGCCAGGCGCACCTCTCCAGGGAGCACATTCCATAATCTGGGCGCCACCACAGAGAAGGCCTTGCTCTGGGTAGTTGTTTTTTTACTCTCCTTTAAAGAGGGCTCCCAGAGCAAAGCCTCTCCTGCAGATCTTAATGGGCGTGAGGGCATGTAAGGGAAGAGGTGCTCCTTCAATTAAAAAAAAAATAAAATTCAACTGGGTCAGGGCAGTGCACAAGGTTTGACCCCCACTGCCATTATTATCAAGAACCCTGTATGATAGCATAGGCAGAGAGGTAACCCAAAGCCACCTAATGAGTTCCATGGCTAAGCAAAGACTTGAACCTGGGTCTCTGTGGTCCTACCAAGGAAAGGCCCAGTGATGGCACCCCAGTAGCAAAATGCTCTCCCTAGAGAAGTGTGCCCATTTTTTTCTCCAATGTGTTTTTAAATGTGTGCAATTGTTATATCTTCCCCTCTTGCTATATTCTCTTTTAAACTTCTAATGGTTTTATATTCTGTTGTACCATTTTTCTACTGAACTATTTCTATTGTCTTTTCAGATAGAGGCATTGCAGATAAGTCGAGTGCAAAAACAGCACTGTAAATACAATGGTGGAGCAAAGGCCTGGCTGGAATTACTGTGCTCCGGTGTAATTTGAGCATTAGAGCACAGACGCTTGACAGGTAAGACCATGGGTCCTCAAACTACGGCCCGCGGGACGGATCTGGCCCACCATGGCCATCCACCCAGGCCACACCGCTGTTCGCCGCCTGCATGCGCACTTGCTGCGTGGGCGGGGAGGCAGTGGCTTGCTCGCTCGGAGATGGTTTTGGACTCACTGAGAGAGCTCCGAGCAAGCAAGCCACCGCCGCACACACCTGATCCTGCCTCACCGGCCCGCACTCCACCTTCACTGGCCTGCGACAGTCACCGCAGCCTTTCAACTGGCCCCCTATTGAAAAAGTCTGAGGACCACTGGATAAGACATTATACTGGGTAAGAATGCAAAGGCAGCTTGAAGCAATGGGAATTCAGATAGGCAGGAGTTAGAAAGGGCAAGAGATACAGCTGGCTGAAGCTGGAATTGATGATGAATAATCTGGAAATAACCAAAGCAAGAAATCTAGTCTGGGTTGCAGCAGGGAAGCTGTCTCAACTACAGAGAGGGGTGCCATGTGCCATGCGTTCATATCTCAGCCAATGAAATCTGCGTTCATATCTCAGCCAATGAAACCCCAGAGAGGTCCGCCTGGCGCCGTCATTATTTGCTTTTCGGTGCCAGGCCAAGACCTTTTTATTTAAATGTTATTTTAATTGATTGTTAAATTATTTATTGCTTTTATCTAACTCCGGGTTGTTTCCAATTCTGTATATTTTTGTATATTGTTATTTATTTGATTGGAAGCCGCCCCGAGGCTTATGCGAATGGGGTGGCATACAAGCACTCCAAATAAATAAATAAATCTGATCTGGGTAAGCACAGCTAAGTCTGTCTTAATTACTTTGGTCAAATACAGAAATAGAGTAACTCAGATAACGTAAATCAGCAGGCCACAAACAGGCACATACTTCAGCTTGTATGACTCTTATCAGGAAGAACAAGTGCTGCAACGTTCTAGCAATGATACCAAACTGCCGACATCGCTCCAGAAAGGAATCTAAGGATGGATCAATTCTTCTTTGCAGTTTGCTCCAAAATAAAGTCAGTTCCCTGCAGAGAAGGTTTAGGACAAATAGATAATATAAAAGAGAAAGAAAGAGAGACAACAAGAAAGTCAGACAATTTAGATGTATGAAGCTTTGTTTTTATAGCTGAATAGCCAATAGCTGAAGGTGCCTGGGCAGTAAACACTTAAACACAATAAAATATAATGTAAACGAAAATCATAAGTCATAATAAAATTACATGTTTAGAAGTTTTATAGCTCCCAAATATTGAACAATTGAAAGGATGAACACACTCTCTTCTCAATCATCCCAGAATGCAGGACACAAAACACTGGAGTCAAGTTATAGAAAGCCAGATTCTGGCTGAACATCAAGAAAAATCCTCCTGTTGGATCATGAACCAATGTCCTAGGGTGTGGTGGGTGCTCCCACACTAGAGGCATTCAAGATGCAGCTGGACTGCCAACTATTAAGGATGCTTTAATTCTGGAGTCCTGCACTGAGCAGCGGGTTGGCCTTAATGGATCCTTCCAACTCTACTGTTCCACGATTCTACAAATGTACAGTATTGGTAGTAGTATTAGCCCTTTTCTTATTGGTAAGGTTTAATGGATTTTGCCAATAAACTTACTTTCGGACAACAATATGAAGCTGCTTCTGCTTGAAGAATTAGGGTAAGACAGGCAGCAAGGTGCCTGAATGTAAGCATCAGTGGGACTGAGAAACCAGCAGATCATAGAAATCCAACAGACCCATCTCAGAAGGTGCACTGAATGCATTCAGGGTGCAATCCTAAGTCTGTTTAGACAAAAAAGGAAGTCCTATAATTCCCAGATATGGCTGACTGGGGAATGCTGGGAATTATATGACTTTTTTTCTATCTAACAGGCAAAGGACTATAGGCTTATTTGGCTAAATATGTTTTGATACATAGAACAAAATAAATACACGTTTTATCGCATCTCCCTTTGTACTGATGCCTTCTTTTGTTTTCTTCCAAAATCAGACCTGATCTGATCTAAGGGCATATTCAATGATACTGGGATGGAAACAATCCCACACTGTACTGCTAACGAGAAGTTTCAAAGTTTCTCTTCTTGTAAAATGAGGAAGGAGAGAAGCAAACATGTCCATCTGATTTTTGCCATTGACTATTTCCGATCCTCCAAAACATGTTCTAGAGACTGAAGCATCTTCTGAATGTAGTCAAAGATATATTTGGTTAATCTTACTGGGTTTCATGATGTCTAGATTTTGCTAACAGCCTCCCCTGTTAAGTTCCTGAGAACTGGGGGGAGAAATACTCAGATACAACCACAGGAAAAATGACTATATCCTTATTATAAGCAATCTAGAGGGACCATTTGGACCAGAACTAAAATACTGATTTGAAAATAGATATTTAGACACACTACTTACCAGGAGCAGTATACACTTGCCGTCTGAAGCTGCTGAGTGAGGTACGTCGTGCAAAGAATAAATGCAGTGCTGTCTTGGCCCTCTGCTTCCAGATTACATATCATATCCAGGACTTCTTTGCAGTCTACCTTTGCAATCTTTCAAAGAGAAGTAAGAGGGTGAGAACTATTTTGTAAATAGTTTCATGGGAGAAACAAACAAAGCATCTCACAGGAAGGCATCCCTATTCTACTGCAAAACCATGGGCTATTTCAGTGGTTCTGTTAAACTCCACTGCATGCAACGAAGGCATTCATATACCATTGCGGCTCAGTGGCAATACCTCAGAAACATAGTTCAGATCTATTCTTCATCAGAATGGCAACCACTCATTTGAGTTATTGGCCAAATGAGCAAGTACCACATTCTGGCTGTCTCACAGAATTATATTTAAGATTTCGTTGGAAGAATTTCAACAATGGGAATTCCAGATTCCTCACAGGCAGAGCGAGAGATTAAATTAAGCACAGGACATAGATTGCCAAACGGTATTCATGCCAACTGTGCACAAACACCCGAAGAAAAAAAGGCAATTCAAAGCAAATGCAGTGTCAGACTGGAACTGTCCTCCTAGGCACAAGCAAAGCTGTTCTGATAACGAAGAAATCTGATTAACAGAATCACCAAAGTGCTGCTTTATTTTGCTGAAGTGTTACTCCTACTTCCGCAAAGAACACTGGCAGAGAAATTATTTTATCACAGCATATGAGTGAACACTTTAACTGGTAAGAGTTAAAGTGTCACCACTGAGAGCTTAAAACACAGAATGAGCTGGGAAATTGTTGCTGAGAACGCAAGGAACAAGGAAAGCAAGGAAAAAAGCACAAATAGGATTAACTATGACAAATGGTTAGGCCACTAATGGACACTTCCATTCACAGATACTCTTTCGTTTTTGCTGAATAAGACAAGGTGACTGGATGCAGAACAAGCTGGAGAAGGAGGGAAACTAAGCTGGATGGAAGGTAAGAATCTACAGAGAGAGAACAGAAACACTGTTTAGTTTCCATGGTTTATATGGGAGAATGGGAGCTAACTCCCACCAGTTCTAGGATCTGACCACAGGTATCTACTTACATTTACCAAGCCCTAACAACAGCATTCACAGTTTTGCTAGAATCAATCTACAATGACTGCCCACTCACCTCCCTGATAGACTCTTCATTTGGAAGCATGGAACACAAACATGTTATGTAGGCCTGGAGAAAAGGCGATACATCTGATATTTCTGGGGACTCTTTACACAGTTTGGACAAAGATGCAGCTTGAGGAAGGCAGTTTGTTTTCATCAAATGTTTTATTCTCATCTGCAGAAAGGCTGGTCCTTCTCGTTTAATCAGCTTATTGACTAGAAAAAGATGATGATATGTTAGCACACACTCATTTATCACCAGAACTTAACTCAAATATGGATATGCCAGCAGCTGCCTGCATTCTTGGCCCATTTCTCATGGAATCCTGGAACTGACTTCTGAATCTAAATTCAGGTGGGGAGAAAATTTCAGTGTGGGTCACATTTAACAATCCATGAGTTAAGTCATGGTTTAGTGTCTTGTGTGAACCACGTCAATTTTGAGAAGTCACTGGTCTGATTCTCAATCTATGAGTTGATTTCATAAAATGAATTTTCTATGTCACTTTCTTTACAGCACCACTTGAGTATATTAATGCTTCACATTTCTAAGCAACATTAGTTCAAAGCATCTCAGCAAAAACAATATTCCATAAATTTCTACAAACATCTTTATAATATAGGTAGAAACAAGAGGATCTAGTATGCACTAACAAAGCCATTGTTTATTAACCGCTAACAATCTAGGAAACATTAAAGAACCAGGTTACAGAAGCAATGGGCAAGAGTGTTTAAAAACTGAGCTGCTGTACATTGCCAGTACTACAACGCCACAAAGGCATTTGGAGTACAAGGAGAGAGCAGGAAAAGGAGGATAACAAACCATGACTCAGCTGTGCGCTGAATAAACCATTTACTTATCCAATGGGTTTGTGTTATATATGAACTACGTAAAAATATAAGATCATAGGCTAATAGAGTTGGAAGGTGCCAGGAGGGCCACTGGGTTCAACCCCCTGCTCAATGCAGGATTCCAAGTTAAACTGTCCCTCTCAGATGGCTATCCAGTTGCATGTCTTTGGTGTGGGAGAGCCCACAACCTCCCTACATAACTGGTTCCACTGTCATATTGCTCTAACAGTCAGGAAGTTCCTTCTGATGTTCAGCTGGAACATGGTCTCCTGTAACTTGAGCCTATTATTCCATGTCAGGCACTCTGAGATGATCAAGAAGAGATCCTGTTTTCCTTTTTGCAACAAGAACTTGTAGAGTGCTATGATATCTCCTCCTCTCAGTCTTCTCAAGGCTAAACCTTCCAAGCTATTTTGATCTTTCCTCATAGGGCTTTGTTTCCAGTCTCTGGATCATCCTTGTCGTCTTCCTCTGAATCCCTTCCAGCTAGTCTGCATTTAAACTGTGGTGTTCAGACTGGATGTGGTGCTCCAGATGAGACCTAAGCAGTGCTGACTAAAAGGAAACTAGTATTTCACAGGATTTCGAAGTGATATTTCTATTAATGGAGCCCAAAACAGCATTTGCCCTTTTTGCAGCCACATCACACTACTGACTCATTATTCAGCTTATGATCCATAGCACCGTCGAGTCAAGTGTTCCCCATCTTGTAACAATGCATTTTGGTTTCTTTTTCCTAGGTACAGAACTTGGCATTTGTCCCTACAGAATTTCATTCCATTGTTTTCAGCCCAGCATTCCAACCTATCAAGATCACCTTGAATCTTATTTCTGACTTCCAGGGTATTCACTTAGCAGTTTTGTGTCATCTGCAAATTTGATAAGCGTTCCCTGCACTTTTTCATCCAAATCATTAATAAAAATGTTAAAGAACACTGGGCCCAGGATTGAACCCTGCAGTACCCCACTTCCTACCTCTCCCCACTTGGAGAACGTACCATAGATGAACACTCTCCAAGTCAGATTCTGTAACTAACTGTGGATACACCACCCAATAGTAGTTCCATCTAGCCAACTTTTAGCTAGTTTGCTAATCAGGATATCATGGGGCACTTTGTCAAACATTTGCTGATGTCAAGATATATTATGTCTGCAGCATTCCCACAGTCTACTAGGAAGGTTACCCAGTTAAAAAACAGAATCAGATTAGTCTGGTAGGATTTGTTTTTGACAAATCTAGGCTGGCTCCTAGTAACCACTGCATTGTTTTAAGGTGTTTGCAGACTGACTGCTATATAATCTGCACCAGAATTATCCCAGGGAGTCATGTCAGAGAGACTGGTTTGTAGTTCTCAGGCCCTTCTTCTTTTCCTTTCTTGAGGACAGGGATAACATTAGCCCTTCTCCAGTCATCTGGTACTTCTGCTGTCCTCCATGATTTCTCAAGGGTAATAGTGGTTCTGGAAGTTCTTCTGCCAGTTCCTTTATGATTCTATGCTGGAGTTTTTGAGGCCCTGGAGATTTGAACTCATTCAACCCACTTAGATGATGCTTGACCATTTGCCTATCAATCTCGAGTTGCCATTCTGTGCCTTCATCAATTTTCTTCTAGACTAAAGAAATGTTAAGCCATTCAATTTACATATCTTCAGTGGGAATACACTCCAAATATTTGTCTGCAGTATATGAGGAAAAAAACTTGATCATATCACCCAAGATCACTGGATATATTGCCGCTGTAAGGGCTGCTTTTTTTCTAACCCATGCTGCTGGGGTAAAAGCTCAGAGGCCCAAACTGTATGGCAATGCTTCTGACATGCTTCCCATTCTATGATCACCTCTCCTGGCCAGGTGGCATTCAGGAAGGAAGGGCCCACACAAGACTGGCCAAATACCAGTCTTGCCAACAGTGTGGCAGCTATCTGCGCTCAAACAAACAAAAATGCCTCCTCTACCACTGTGGTAAGTTTAAGAAGGGCCTAGACTTCACAGAAAATGGTTGAATGACTACTGCCAAATCAATAATCAGTGCTGAACTTTAGTTGAAAATATGCAACACATTTATTTTATACCTTTTTTCCCCTGCAAGAGTAAGCAAGGTTTCAATTTGTTCAGAACTCTTAGTTGGCAGTAACAGAAGAGCTGATCAGCTCCCCCATAAGCCAATTCTGCCAAAGGGGAAGGGGACTTTGCCTTTAATAGGAACAATGAGAAAGACATATTGTTCATTTAAATATGGAGAATATCCTGACTGTAAGGCAGCTCCCTGAAGAGACTACATGATGTCTTTCCTTGTAATTGTTAGACGTTGGAGGTAGGTAAGTGACTGTCAGGTAAGTTCTAGGTCACAGAGCTCTTTACAGAACTACTAGATCCCTTAAAAACACTGCAGTGTTACAAAACAGAGCAGATCTCCAACTGTTTTTGGAGACAGATTATACTACAACAGAGGGAAATTTCAGGATGACCTTCATTAACCTGGTGCCTTCCAGATGGTTGAGGAGTTATATAGAAATCAACACATCTGGAGAGCACCAGATTAGGGAAAAATGTTCTAGGACTAAGCAATCTGATGAATAAGGGGAAAGTTAAGAGACTGAAATGATGGCTCAGGATTGAAGGTAAGTGAAGAATTTGCATACCACATGCAAGAGCAATTTATAAATGCCTATCAACCTGCTCAGTTCTTTAGTAGCAACATGTTTCACTGGGAAAGAACAAGTACTGCACACATTAGAATAGTGACAGAGTGATTTGAGGAAGAGTTTCAGTATTTACCTTCTTCTGCTTCTACTGGTTGCTGTGATATAATCTTTAAAAGAACTGGATTCTTCCACACACCTTCCTTGGAGATGTCAGCCAGTATTTCAAGGCTAGTATCTCCAAATTCAAGTAAAGCATTATGGGAATCCTATGTGGTAGAGAAAGAAAACCTTTTAAACTGTGTTAGATAGCAGTGATCCCAGCTGGAATCTGAGTATTTTGGAATCCAAATAAACTGAATTGAAGGAGAGAGAAGATCCTATGCAAGCAGGTAAGAAAAGGCTATCAAGTTTTGAAAGGGTAAGAGCCCAAGAGATCTTCCATACTATCCATACCCATGAGAGAAAAATCAACTGTCCCCTTGCAAAGCATCCCAACTTATTTCCTCTATATATGATGGTGTGTTATGGCATTTTCTCAATACTTCCATTACATTATTTTTTATAATGGGGATTATATTTTCCCACAAGGTCAATCTCTGCTAAAGTGTGCATTCACTTGAGTATTATTGATCTAACACATTAGGTGGGTAACACCAGAGAAGCTACCATTTCTCCCACAGCAATGCTTCACAATCTGGCTCATCTTTCACTTTGTAAATTCCCTACTTAGTTCCTTGAGTGCTGTGTTCCCTCTTGTAGCACACACTCCCCCTCCACTTAATCCAACACACCCCCTCCTGTTCTGTGAAACAGAATGCTGCTACCATACTGCACCTTATTGATCTTATCAATCACCTAAAAAGCTGCTCACAACCTCAATGTATATTAAGGGCTCTGTAAAGCATTAACATCTCGAATGTTGTGTGCTGCAACTTCACTTGGAATCCCTATGATGTATTTGTACCCATGCCATTTCCAAATGCTTGCAGTTCAGAATTTCTCAAAGTATTACTAGGCCAAATCTTTAAGTCATTCATACCAAGACTCTCCCTGTGTGTATCTCTCTCTCCTTTGTCCCTTTTTCCCTACCCCCTTTCCTCAAACACATAAACCTGTTTAATTACAATTTGAAGAGAGCTGGTTTCTAGCTACTAGCCATTGAAACAAGGTCCTCTGTGGAACTGACATTACATATACTTGCCTGTAGGGACTGAAACAATCTCAACAATGGTTCAGACTGCTCTTCACTTTCAGGCACAGAAAGCAGTAGTTCAAAACAGCTCCTGAAAATAAGAAGTCATAGAAGTAAATGTGTTAGAAGTACAATTAGGAAGTGTTTGTTTATTGCTGGGCCATTTTGCACCTCTATGTATTATCACTCTAGGCCAAAAGAATGTACAAACATACTAGAAAGGTATGCACAGTCATGGTCAAACAGCTTAACAATTGCTACTAGAACTTAGGTTGTTTCCCATGGGGAGAGCGGAGAGATATTTAGCAATGGTTAGATACTGGCATTATAGCATGGTATTGTGGCACTGTCAGCTCATCCTCAACAGCATTTTTGCTCTGAGAAAACCACTATGAGGAATGATAAAGAGCATGTGAAGTGTTGCATTTGCATTTTCCAATTTTTCAGAAATTGAGTTTGAAAAAAATAAGTGCAATATAGGAAACACCAGTAGGTATTCAGGATTAAGATACAATAAAAGGGGGCATAAGGAGGAGGCAACAAAACAGATGCTGTTTGCCATTTGCGAGAGAGCATGTTTTCCACAAATAAGTCGCGTCGTGTTTGCATCCCACCATTCTTCCAAGGGGGTCAGGGCAGAACTACCACCTTTCCCCCTAACAGCAACTCTATGAGGCAGGTTGGACTAGCTTAAGGTTACCCAGTGAGTAACACGGATGTGATGAATTTTGAATTTAGGTCTCCAAATCCACAAGTCAACCCATTATACCATCCTGGCAATATATTTCCTACAATGTTGGAAATGAGATGAGATTTGCTGGAGGCATTCATCCCCCCCCCCCCCCCCCCGAAAATGAATGTGTCAAGCCGTACTTACAGCACTAGCCTGCCAAGTACCAAAAGAACTTCTTCACATTCTGTAGTCAAGTAAGGTCGGGCATTGGCAAAGCTTTGAATGGCGACTCGATACACTTCCAAAAAAGGCAAAACGTGCTCCGAAGCAGCCCGACTGCCAGCATATTGTAGCAATGTCTAAAAAAGAAACAAACAGTGTAATGCTCATTACCAACTCTGACATTTAAAAACGATTACTTTATATCAATTCTATATCCATATATACCCATCATATACTGAGAAAATCAGGATTTTTCAAACTGACGCAAAAGCAGAAACGAAGAAATTCTCTCCTCTTTGCATCCAGATCCTAAAGAGTAACTGCAAATATTAATGAGTATTAAATGGACTCTGGAGAATGTAGCTCTTGAAAGAGCTTCTGCAGCACAGCAATGAGTATAAAGTGCCAGATTAGAAAATATTTTGACTACTGCCTATTACAGACACAACACCTGCACTCAAAACTATCTTTACACCCTAAAATAATGCTTCATAATGAGTCTTTGCGATGTATATCCTGCCTTTTTCCTACAAAGGGCTCAAGGCAGCTTACATCATCTCTCCCCCTCCATCTTATCCCCACAACAACAACCCTGTGAGGTAGGTTGGGCTGAGAGCCTGTGACTGGCCCAAAGTCACCCAGTTGGCTCTGTGGCTGAGTGGGCACTCGAACTCAGATCCTCTGAGTCCCAATCCCAGGCTCTTAACCATCACGCCACACTGGCTCTCACAAAACCCACTCTTATTGATCTGATCAACACCCATCAAGATTTCCTACAAGTCAATTCCACTTCTGTTATTGTTCTTCTGTTATCTGTTTTTGAGGATCAGGCTTTTGGAAGGAACACATTTCATATATATTTTCATAGTAAGTGACTTAGTACCGGCAAGGTTTCTGCTGAATGTAGTGGCACCGCCAGTATGGCTGAGCTACAGACAGGTGCAGAGGATATGAAAGAATTCAGGCTGATGTGGGAAATCTATGATCTAGTTTCTTGACATCTCTTTCTTTGGTGAAAAGCAGCCAGGGTATCTGTAACGTACCTGTCTGCCCGCTGCTTCCATGGCTAATAGCAACCTGGGATGGGTTAAGTTGGGCAACTAGAGAAGAGAGAGGGAATATACATGTAGCACCTAATTCAAACCCTCCTGTCATTGCCCCCAAGTTGGCTTTTAACAAAATAATATTTCCTGACACTTTTTATCGAAGATCCTTTACATGTAGCTTGTTCCTTTACCATTGTATGTGGTTTCAGTTCTCTACTTCCCCATTAGGTTGTGTGATGGGGAAAATCACTAAGTTGCAATGCCTGAACAAAAACATCAGATCTGGCAAGTCTGTGACTTCATTTATTTTATTTATTCATTTAAGATATTTGAATGCCGCCCTTTGTGAGAGCCTCAGGACGGCTTACACAAATAACTTCATGCCTTTGCCTCAAACACAATGGATGGGAGCAAAACTGCACATACTCCATGCAAGGGCTGAATTTGGGACTGGACACAGAACTTTACTGTCAGAGAATCACAGCCTCCATTTTCTTCAATCAAGTAACTAAGGCAAACTTTCCAGTGCTAGTTCTGCATGCCTGCACCAGCTCCCAGATTCTGTTTTCTAGAATAGTAGACACTCATGCCATTCACAAAAACAGCTAGAGGAAGCTTCAATTCCATATGAAGATCTGCTGCTCATGTAAAACGGAAACAAAAAGTCCTCAAAGCATGCACAAGCTTGAGATCACTTAAGAATAGCTACTTAGAAACATAGAAACAGAGCGAGTCAGAAGGGTCTCCCGGGCCATCTAGTCTGACCCCCCAGCTCCAGCCGGTTCCGCTCACAACATGCCCACCATACTTCTTGATGAATGGATTCAGGCTAAGTCTGTGGACCCATGAAAAAAAAAAGCAGGACGAGTTTCAAAATGCTTGAGTTCTGTCATCTCTAGAAGTATTGTGGTGGTCCTAAGATACAGAGCCTTTCTCCACTAATGGCAGTGGCAGATCAGTGTGCTTGACTCCACTGTTAGCAGTCACTTCCGTTTCCTCTAGGCACTTAAATTAATTGCTGGATTATTTGCTTGAATGGGCGAAGCTAAGCTCATGTGAAGAGAAATGCTTATTCCCCCCCCCCATTCTTCTGAGACTGTAGAGTTCTCCATGAATTCTTAAGTATTAATATAGTTCAGGATCTTGAAATTTGCCCACCTGGTTAGATGAATGTAATTAGAGCCACTGTCTCGTTTATGCGAGTATTTGGTCCTGCTCCTTTATTACTGTGAAGAGCAACTTTTCCCACTTCTTTTATCAAAACTGTAAATAGTCTCATCTGAGTTTTCTTTCTTTACAAATTCAGACCAAATTCATTCAGGTTGGCTTTATCTACTGCCATGCATTTAAAGTAAAGAAGCAGAGTAGGGAGGGAGTTAATCTTCCCTCACAGAAACATCTAGATTGGTCCATCTCTTTGAACTGGGACTCAGAGATTCACCCTAATAAATCAAATGAAGGAAAAAAGCCAAAACAAACATACATATAGGAGGCCTTTCACCTGTGGCTAAGTCTTTGATCTCCTGGAAAGTCCAGCAAATAGGAGAGGCGATTTTCACTGACTCCCCCCTTCAGTCTACTGCATGCCCTTCTGGAGAATTTCTCAGTCCTCTGAATCATAATTTCTGGGGAATGTAAGGGGATGGGAAATCAACTAAACTCACTACCTTCTCCATTAATATAAGCTTCAACTGGTTCAAATATGCCCCTACATACAGAAGAGCACAACTTTTTGGCAGCCTAGAGAGCATAATGCTAATAGAGCGGCTTTTATACTAATTTAATAAATAAATAAAATAAACACTGGAATCAAGCTTATGAATTCTGAATTAGTCAGTCTGCTTTTTACAAAGAGATCCAGTGTATTTTGTCAACTGGTTCTTTTTGCAAAATAGGGACGGGGAAGATTCTCAGTCATGTTTGCATTCTGACAGGAATTTACAAAATTTGCACACCCTCAATCAATGTGCAAACCAAACACCATTATTTTCAGTATTCACATTTTTCAGAATTGTGGAATTTACTTCTCCAAACATAAAAAGGAAAGAAAATGAATACATTTGTGTGACAAAAGGTACAGAACATTGATCATACAGAAATCCATTATTAGAAAAATGTATACAAATTTTCAAGCAGACTTTTTTCAGGTTGCAAATTGATGTGAAAACAGGATGGGATCAACTTAAAATTGGAAAAAAGAGCAAGTGAGAGACACCAGAATTGACACTGTCCTCTACCCCTCTCAGGATCTTCAATTCTATCAGTTCCAGAATACTTTCTTCCAGAGTTCCTTCCACCTTTATCCTCACTACAAGTAGCTTTCTGTTGTTCTGAACTAAATTCAGAATGTTCAGGTTTTGGGGTGGTGAGGAGTTGCACGTGATCTTTTTAGGTGTTCTGATACAATGAAATTAATTTAGCTTCCAACAAATACCAAAACAACCAAGTCCAACTAAGTTAGCCAATTTATTTTAGTTACCTTCTCTAAGGATGTATTTGTTCTATCCAATTTGTTGGCAATGTTACAGTCAAAAAATGGTCCCTTTTATTCCCACCACTGTTTCATCCAGACACTTCTACTTTCTTCATTTGGAAACTGGGTAGGTGTTGACCACTGTACTCCTCTTTCCCATTCTGCCCTTACAAGCTGCAAAACCCACAGTATAATCTTTCTGTCATGTTATGTCTTCCTACATTCTCACAATTTCTAATTCTTTTTGCATGCTTCCCATATCTAGCATTGCTTCACGCTAAATCTATTATTGACAGGATCTTGCATGAGACAGTGGTCTTATTCTGAGTAATTTCTTCACGACCCCTTTTCTTTCCGTCCTCTGTTATTTCCCCCCATACTTATTTTGCTGCGTTTAGCATGCGCTTGTTTGTTTGTGTGTATTTTTTATTTTTTGTAAATCATCATGAGACCTATGTTTGGACTTCTACAAAAATAAAAACAATTTATAGATCTAGACCTACCTGTAAGGGCTCATTATCTGATTGCCAGTGTCTTATCTCACTTCTCTGGCCCTGATAAAGTCGAGAACTCACTTTTCACCCAGCAATACTCAGTTCTGGTTTGAAAATCTATCATTTTAATAGTTGTGTAGGTAACCACTCAACCTGAGGATGCATTAAGTATAAAGCCAAACCTTTCCCTCGGTTGGATAAGATTGACATCACTGTCACCCATTTCCTTTGCTTCTCTACCTGATCCCCTACACAGCTTGTTCTCATGTACTCTGTACCAACATTCCCCAAGCTGGTACCCTCCAGATAAGTTGTCCTAGAACTAGAGTCAGTCCCTGCCAACATCTGGCTAGGGATAATGGGAGCTGTAGCATCATACTGCTCTTCAGTATCATTGGTTCTATGCTTGTTGCCTATAAAAACTGGATAAAACTTAAACCATTCCCATGAGCCCTACAATATTTTCAGTGATAGACAATAGAGATGAGAGAGCAGAGGATTCCCGCCTGTGCAAAAAATATTGTGTACTATGAGAGGCAACGCAGATGAATTAGTAAGCCTGAAGGACCAAATAACACAGGATGTCAAGAATGGGACCCCTGGAGGGCCATGTCTGGACCTCAGGCATGCGGTTCTGCAGCCCTGATGTTGAAGCTGCCAGCTGTCTCTACAGGACACTGTTCTGGCCACCTTTTATTACACAGCATTTATATCCCACCCTTTCTCCACTTGCAAGGGACTCAAGGCAGTTTACAGAGCCCTTCTCCACTCCATTTTATCCTCACAACAACAATTCTGTGAGGTAAGTTAAAGCTAAGAATCAGTGAGCTTCGTGGTCAAGCTAGAACCTAGATCCCCCAGTCCAATGTTAAAGTGCTAACATTAACATCTAAAGCCCTAAACAGTTTGGGGCCAGGTTATCTGAAGGAACACCTTCTTCCGTGTATGTGCCTGCCCAAACCCTGAGATCACCAGCAGAGGTCCTTCTCAGAGGTCCCCCTCCAAAGAAAGCAAGGAGGGTGGCTACCAGGGCAAGGGCCTTCTTGGTTATCACCTACCTCACTACTCCTTTCAGTGCCAGGTAAAAGCCTTTTTATTCTCCCAATATTTACATAATTAGATTT